GCTCACCGCCTGCAGAGCATCCCGCATCGTCTTCCCAGACAGGCAAGGGCTCCACCCTGCCCCATGCCTTCAGTTTGCCTGCAAGGACTCTCCCTTCTTGCCCTGCGGGCTGGACTCCTGCTTCCCTCCCACTCCCGAGCCCTTGAAGGCCGAGCCAAAGCGGGCGGCGCGGCCCAGGGCGCAGTCAGCTGGCACCGCTGCCCTGCCTCTGCCTCCCGCCCTGTGGGCCCCGGGCGGCAGCACCCCGCCCTTTGGCTGGGGCAGACGAGGTTTGGAGACTTGCTTTCATCCCAGCCCTGTCTGGGAAAGCTCCTGAACCTGCTCTGCAGCTGAGAAGTGGAAGGATCCGCAGCAAAGCTGTGCGCTGGCCGCTTGAAGTGCTTCCCCTTCGTGGGCTGTGACCAGCGGTGTCAGACACCCCCGTGCCCAAATTCGAGTGGTGCGCAATAAGCGGCCCTGTGACCGCTGCGATGGCTGCAGGATCTTGTTTCCTTTTGGAACCATGCACTGGGGTTAAGCTTTTGGCTTTTGTGGCTTCACAGAAACCCTTCCAAGTGCAAACCGAGTGTCACCAGACCCGCGACATCTTCCTGAAACAAATAATGGAGGGACACCAACTCGCCGGTCCCTCAGCCTCCTTGCGACATCAAGCTTCGAGCCTGATGGGAGCGTCCCCAGTTGTTTTGTTATTGGTCATTTGAGCAGAGGAAGTGGAGGAGAGAGTAGAAGCAAAGCCCAGGGATGGAAAATGGAAATGACTGCGAGGAAAGGAATGTGGAGCTTCCAACAACTTGGGGAGAGGAGAGCAGAGCAGGGAGAAGGGGGAAGGAGGAAAACCTGAGGGTAAATTGCAGCAACGCCATTGCAGATTCTTGCAGAACGTAGTCCCAAGTCAGTGACGGGCTGTGGTCTCCAGGCAGGCTTTGTGATACTGCCTGCAAACCCCTTCTCCCCATACAGAAGCAGAGAGAGGCTCAGGTTCCCCCACGGTCTCCCTGGAGCAGAGATGCTGGGTGTTATCCCCACAGAGCCACCAGCCAGCCTGGCAGCGGCCGTGCCAGCTCACCTGGGGCTCCCCATGCACAGGGAGCAAGAGGGACAACCCCAGATGTGGAGGATTTACAGCCCTGGCAGATGCTCGTCACAGGAGCGAGCATCACCTGTAATTTAAATAGTGCAGGCTGAGGCTCAGAGACCTGACAGCAGCCCCACACCACACAGCTGAGGCAGGAGCCCAGTGCAAAGCCCCCAAGACCCTGAAGGAGCCACTGCCCTCCTGCTGCTGCCCAGAAAGGGGAGGCCACAGCATCCTCCCCTCCCCAGGAGCACGCTGGCCTGGGACAGGCTTTTCTCTTGCCAGGGAAGGAAGGAAATGCCAGTGTTGGCTCAAGTCCACTCCAAGAAGAAGCAAATGGCCAGCGGGACACGCACAGCTCAGCTGCTGTCCTGCAGCCCCCAGGCCCAAGCTGCGGATGGACAAATCGAGTCCCCCCCCCAAAAAAAAAATCAGGTAGGAGATGGCACCAAGAAAGGCCCCGTCTGAGAGGTGCGAGCACGGCGCAGCACTGGGTGCTCCCAAAGCCTCTTACACTGAGGGCAGTGCCAGCAGGTTGTGGAGGCAGCGGCAGGCCCAGATCTGCACTCTGCTTTCGTTGCTCACATTTCCGTTTTTATTCACTCCAACTAACTTCAGGGGAGATCTTACCTAGAAGTAATTAAGGTGCTGGCACCCTGGTTCATGACTTAACTTGGCCGCTCTGGCTAAGCTGATACAGATCTCTGTTTCGTGCCCTGCAATTCACTGCGAATTCAGCAGGCACAATCAATTTTCCTGGCTTTTGTGTAACGGGACCTCAAGTAAGGAACAAATAAACTAGACCGGGACTTCCAAGAGTAAAGGCCATCAGCTCACTGGCTGCCTCTCTGTCATTTTTAAGGTGTATTAGATATGTAAATACAAACACACATTCACACACACACAAAGCAAACAAACAAAATATCCAGTATCTTAAAACATTTCTCCCTTACACACCAAAGTCTGCTGCTTTATTACTTCGAATTATAGAATTACTACCTAAGTTCTGAGGTTTGGGTATCTTCATTTATTGCTGAAATCTTGGCATCATCACTCTTCTGGATTTGGGGAAAAAGAGAATAAAAATCAACTCAAAATTATTCACAGTGACAGGATTAGATTAGCCTGTTTATCCCAAACATATCCCAGACATAGGAAAGATACTTCCGTGCTATGCATGGAATATAAAGGAGTTGATACTTCCCAATCTGGATACAGCTTTCATAAACTCTCCTCCCCTTTGTAAGATTACTGCAGTTAGCATTCAAAGAATCCTGCGAATCTGCTCTTAGCTACCAGTCGTGCCAATGCAATGAACCAGCGAAACACCCTCTGTCGTTTAAGAAGTGCCAGGTGCCTAAATAGATAGCAACAAAGATATTTGGCTTATTACAGCACAACTTCTGCTACTCCGAAGGATCCTAAGATGGAGCAACAATTCGTATGTTTAACGTATGCAGAAGTGTTGCTGAAAGGCGTTCCGGTGTAAACAGCCTCTGTGGGGAAGTTCCACAATAGAAAATTAAAGGGGAAAAAAAAAAAAAAAACAAGGTAGTAGTCAGTTTAATTTATTTAGCTTAAAAAAGAACTCAATACATAGTTTGTGTTCCACAGTTTGTCATTTTTGTGAATATAAATCATCCTAAACACTATTTTATTGCCAGGCACTCACAATTCTGCCACTTTGTATGAGAGCAGTTGGCCCGTGCAGGTATCGTCTGCTCAAATGGGGAACGCGGGGACGTGCGGTGCAACACTGTGCTGTAGGGTGGTTTTTAAGGTTGGCAAACATTTCCCATTAGGATAGGCAACAACAGTAACAAAAATAACCATACACAATTCAACTGAAATGTTACACGTCTTTGGAATTTTGTCACGTTGGATTATTAAAGATGCAGACTGAAGTAGCATTAATAGGGAAGCCCTGCTTTAAAAAAATAGCGTGTCCTTAGTGCAGAGGTAGTCTCACAGCAAAAGTTATTGCAGGGGTGCAGTACAGACCCTCCACAGGATTGCCAAAAGCTGCTGAGGCAAAGAACACCCACCTCAAATAAAATTCAGTATGCTGTGGGGTTTTCTGTAAATAATTAAACAATAAATCAAGTGACCCAGCAAATAAAAATGCCATCGTGCCTGCAATGAATCTGGCGTTTTACTGAAGTTAACCTCTCCAAATCAGAAAGCAGATAGGTAAATATACTTGCAGAAATGTCTCTTTATCCTTCCCAGTGCAAATCAAATGTAGGAAACCCCCTCTGCTGCAGGTGACCTGTCTAATTATGCCCTAAGAGCAATCAAGTTCAGAAACACTAGCCAAACTTAGTTCTTATCAAGCTTAATGTGTGTTGATTCAGCTACTTCACCACTGGTGGACCTTACTTATTTATTTATTTTTAAATATACCATTTAAATCTGGATGTATTTCTGTGTTGGTTAAGCTAACTGCATAAGTGCATCGAATCTTTTCCCTTCAGTCTGTCCTCCCAGCACAGCTGTCTTCCGTTTACACGTGCAGCATGGAAATCTGTAAAAACCTGCAGTGTCAGTTCATAACACAGCAGATTGAAATTCTATATGCTAGTTTTGGCCTCAACTTAAACCTGCCCAGCTCCTATTCTGGAATCTTATCATAGCCTCAAACTTTGTCCCCTCAAAAAATGTTTTGGGACCAATTAAGGAATAGTGAAGCAAAGCTGATTAAGAAAGTTCGTACTAGGTTTTTACTTATCAGCCAATTCAGCAGAAGCTGTTAGAGGTAATTTGCCCTCAGCTGTTCTAATTGCAGCTGAGACACTCCTATTTCCAAGTCTTTTCTTCTCTCCTTCATGTTTTTCTCCTCAAAAAGAGAACTGTTGCTTCTCAAACTGGGTGCACAACCTAAGCAGCAAAGGAGGCCAACACCACTCTCGGCTGTCTGAAGCGTCAGCCCCGGAGGTTTCCCATGTCTCATTCTGCACTCACGCATGTTTGTGGTTGCATTACTTCATTACTTCTGCCAACTTTGTCAGCCTTTACCATCAGATTCCGCGACACAGAACCATACAGCTACCAGCACACGACCAAAACGCTTCTTTCTCAGCATTCATTGTTAAGCCTGTATTGACCATAGAAATTACCAGAAGTATTTCGCTGCTGTTTGCAGCTGGATGCTTCTTACAGTGACTCTCCAGTCAATGGACTTTGCAAACCACTTAATTCTGGAAAAAACCTATGGGCACAGTCCATCCCAGTGTGAACAAAAGGGGAAGGGCAAAGCTGGTGTGACAGCTGCTGGAAGCTCAATAAGCTAAATTGGAAACAGACAATTCAATGAAATTCTCATCCGTTTCTAACTTAGATCTAAAGATAAGTGTTTTTATCTGCCAATTAAAAATGTGCACCATTTTTCAAAGGTGTAGAAATTCCCTTACCTCTGTTTTGCACATGTACAGGAAGCTCAAAACTTTCCCAGGAAACAATCTACAAGAGCAGCATCTTTTCTACTGCCAAATTATCCCTCTCTTCCAGAGTGCTTTTAAGACAGTTAATATTTAATATGGATATAGCAATCAACCTTTTACATGTTAGGCTAGTGGGCAGGTTCTGATGCTGATGTTAATTCCCTAGAGCTCTTCTTGTAGGAGCTCACAGAAGGCATAACTGGAGATACCAGTAGGTGCAAGAAAATTTAAATTTACCTAGGAATGAATCTTAAGATCTGAAACACACTGAAAAAAATAAAGAAAAACAAAGCATGTTTCTTTCTGATACAGGCACTAAAAGTGAATAGTACGAGTCAACTCGAAGATACTGGGAACCAATTTCTTGCAAGAAAATGCATTATACACTAAAAATATCAAATAAAAACACACAGCATGAAAAGGACCGTGGAAGACAGACAACTGATAGTTTTGAAAAAAATGATGACAACATATTAACATCTACGATGTATGCAGACATCCCTTGGAAGTTTTATATATGCTATATATATTTCAAAGTACACACAAATTGCCTATTTGGCAAGTTGAGAAAATAGGAATACATCTTGGGAAGGTCATGAAGAAAAAAACACACAAAGGAAAACAAGAGTTATTTACATTCATTAATTCAGTAGCCTTTAACATCTCTATATACATACATATTCTTTCTATATATGTACAGACTGCAATAGGATCTGAACGAAGCTTATTCCAAACGCAACTGAAAAATACAAAAACCCCTTGATAATTCACTTGACAAATGTTTACAGGTTGCAGAGCTTTCTTAATTTACAAAGAAAATACCACACATTGAGTAGACAACTAGCATCTTTGGGGAACTTTAAGTCCTTACGAGAGGTGTATATTCCTAACACACCACACAGAAATTGGAAAAAATCCGAAAACTTGCTGTGCAGAGTGGGTTTTAGGGGGTTATAACTGCATTTGCTGTGTCAGACACATCTTAAGTATGAAACTAGTTAACAAGTCAATATTCAGTAGCTGTCAAGGGACATTTTAAGAAAAGAAAACCCAAGTTTTTTATCCCTTCATTTCTCAAGTCAGCTTAAAGAAATATCCTCCCCTTCTACAGCGTGCTTCCGGAACTCATCCAGTACAGGAATTTCCACCAGCATCTTACATTTAGGCTTGCCTCTGTTATCAGAGGCATCTATCCTTTATAAATTTAACATCCATTTCAGATGCTGATTTTTGTGAAACAGTTCTGTTGTTCCAGAAGTAACAGAAATATAGATACAGTTCTAGCCTTATATTTATACGATGTAACAATTGGTCTCTCCTTTTTCCTCCCTTTGAGGATGTTTTTCTGACAGGCAGTGCTGCAAGATATTAACACGTCCCTGTCCTTATCTCATCCATAGTGCTATTCATAGTCCTTTTCTTCCCCAAGTGTTACCAGCAGTTAATACAAGGATGTATTACCAAATAATAATAATTAAAAAGATCTAGCAGGAATTTTTGAGAGTATATTTCTGTAGCTTGAAGACTAACTTTCCTTCTTTGGAAAGTTAACCTTTCAGATGTTGCAACACTCTGGAGCTGTGGATGCAGCTGTGTTAGTAACAGAATGACAGAGCCAAGGAACTGAGAGTGGCAAGTGGGTAGAGAACATGCAAAGAAGAGCAAGTAGGGGGAACCCAGTACTGGAATAGGAACAAATCTTACAGCTCTTTTAGTATGGTATAATTTTTTCCTCCAGGTAACACAAGTCTACAGGAAATTTAAGAGGGTGTGAACGGTTTGGGTTGGAAGTGGCCTTTAAAGATCTAATCCACCCTGCCGCTACCAGCAGGGACATCTCGTGTATTTACTACTCCATTTTACTGAGGATTAAGATGGAAAATACCATGTCACCCTCAGAACAGAAGTTATTTCTACACTGATTAAAAAACAACTGAAGTCCACATACACAGCTTGCTGTTACTAGCAATTTGGTTCACTATCTGTTGCAATAGTAATCTGTCAACATACTTCTCAAAATCCCATTGCTTTTCCTGGAGTGGATGCCAAATACATCCAATGGTGGGTACATAGCACATGAACATCCTCCCCCACACCCTGTCTGTGGTCTTGAGTTTTCCAATGCATAATCAGCTTCTCCTGATATCACAGCATTCAGGCAAGCTTCCCTTCTCTACCAGAGGATTAAAAAAACCTCAAGACACACCTACCACCTGCATTACAAGTACTTTACAGAGATGTAGCAGGTGCTAGAGCAATATCATGCATGCCAATTTATCCTGGATCTGTATTTCCAGTTTGTCAGAACTGTGTTCCGACCATTTCAGGTTGTGGAGTTGAGGAGAGCAGGCCGAGAGGAGAGCAGGTGACTGCCTTCCACAACAAGCACGTGCACCGTTACTGCACGGGGATGCTGGCACTGGTAGCACTAACAGAGCCTCAAGTGAAATAATCCATGCAAGGGAGCTCACTTCAGCCTGAATTCAGTGATGGAACTTCTGGCCCCATTACTTATGGAAAAACTGAGACACTTGAATCTGGCTCCCTGAAGGTTTACAAAGTGACATGCTACGATAAATTGCTGCTCTGGCAGGAGACCCTTATTTAAAATCTGCATCAAGGTCTAAATACAGTTTACTTCTTGCCTCTCTAATGAGTTCAACTGAAATATTTGGACTGCAAGACAGAAGCCTGGTTAAAGCAGACCAGAACATGCCAAGTCCTGTAAATTCCAATTGTAAAGACTTGTTAGTTGTTTTTTTTTTTTTTTTTTTTTTTTGGAATACAGTGATTGCCTAAACAAGACTCCACTTCTTGTTAGTACAATAACTTTTATTTGACATCTACAAGATCATTATCTTGTAGTTTTTTTGGACAGGTTTATACAATCTCAATTTTTCAATAGTGCAACCTGTGCAAGCAAGAAATGACAAACATTGTCCTTCACTTTCTTATAAACATCTACTATTATAGGCAAAACAAAACTTACCCATATTATAGATAAGTGACTATTCACATTTGTACATTACAATTTCTTTTAAACAGCTCCAGATAAACTCTACAATGTCTTACAACATATTAAACAGTATTCAAGTTACTGGGTAACAGAAACAGCACATACAGCGGAACCCTCAAGTGTTTCCCATTCTCTAATTTACAGCTCAAGTAAGGTTTCATCTTACAAGTGACAAATTAAATTACATTAATGAAGTAAAAAATATAAGATTGTATGCGAGATGGAAGTGAATTTGCACTTAAGTTTCCATAACCACCTCGGATTAAGGAAATGCTTCAATTTAAGGAAAAATAGGCATCCAGCCATCTTTGCAGTACACATTAGGAATACCATTAATACATTAAAAATGAACTAATTTTAATTTAAGATGTTTATCACAAAAAGAACATGTTGTAGACTCAAATATATAACCCCCAGGAGAGAACCAGAAAAAATGCAACACCTGGGTATAAACACTATAAAAATGCAATAACCAATGCTGTACAACTAAGATTGTGTTTCTCTCTGAATTCCTGTCTCGTGTATTTATCCTGTCCATGCCCGTTTCCAAAGACATGCACTGTCAAACAGAAACTGGGAAGGAACCTGAATGCATGATGTGCAACCTCTAGGTTTCATGCTTTTATAAACTTATAAATTGAAGAGAAAAACCCAATATATATTTTCTATATATATACTCAATACATGCATTCAAGGATATCTCCCACAGCAATGGCATTGATGCACTGCGTTAAACCCTGAGCACTGTATGACAAGATAAAAATAAAGCCTGCTTGGGGACTTTCAAGCATTTTCAAACAAATTGTGGTTTGTAGCTTAAAAGGCCAAAAGTAAAAGCAAACAGGAAGCACTACAGAGAGCATAAGGAAAGACAGATGCACCACCATGAACAACTGCTGGCTTTCAGTTCTACCAACCTTTTTAGATCTCTTTATTTCCCAAAGTATTTGAGAGCACACAACTGAACTGAAAAAGTTATATTTCTTTGGAATCTGTCCCTGATTTTTATGCAAGTGATATGCTTTTACAGCCTTTTCCTCAAACACCAAAATCAACACCTGTAGTTTGTCCTCTTATGCATTGTTGAAATTGGTGATGCTTTGTGGGTGATGCTGCTGCCATATCTGCTGCTGTTGTACTGCAAGCTGTTGAGACTGGTCTGACGTCGACAGGAGGTTTACAAGGGGCGATACACAATTTGCAGGAATGATCAAGCCTGAAAACAGCAATAAATCAGTTGTTTCACAAGCGTACAATTTTGTTCCTTAAAACTTCAGGCCAAAGGCTGACGATTCCACCATTTAATTTAGGCTACACAACAGTGCCTGTTTCTAACATCAAGTCTAACCAAGCACAGCTACAAGTTTTGCCATGTAAAACCAGAATTCAGCTATTGCTGTTTTTCTAGTCTCAAAAAAAATACAATAGCATGAAAATTTAAACACAAAACACCTAGTTTCACTATCTTATAGAACCGGCACTATTGTGACATTACAGATCATGGAAAGTCCACATTTAAAAAAAAAAAAGATTTCAGACTCTAGGATATCTATGCTATGAGAGCTTCCCTAAATGGTTTAGCAATAAGACATTACACACTTATCTCAAAGTCACTCTAAGCTACTGGTTACATGTGCTCAAAAACCACAAAGGCAACCATTTCAAGGGCTCACTGTTACTTGCGAGAAATGGAAAAAAGCTGAGCCCTTATAGTTTCAAAGACAGGCTGGCTGGAACATGCTGAATTTTATTGCTTGTGAAGGAAAAGAACTGAGAGAATAAACGTTTCAAAGCCTGTCTGGAAAAAAAAATTCTTCCTTCTTTAACTTGAGTCAAAACAGCGTTTGCACACCCAAATCCCTATTTTAATAGTACCTTCTGCCCATCTTCAACATGCACACAGATAAGCCTTTTCTCTTGTAAGCATTTTCATAAAAATATCTCCTACATGGCTCTCAGAGGGACTTGTAAGTTACAACCACCTCTACCTCAAAATGGAAATAAAGGAGCAGACAAGCCACTTACCTACGATCCTCTGACCGTCTTCTGTTCTTAGACGAACTATTTGCATTTTCACATTTGTACCACTCACAGAGGCTAGAACGCCTTCTACTTTTGTCCAGACGCTCAATACTGAACCACACAAGACATAGTAAGTTCGACAGCGGAGTCCCACTTCACAAACTAATCCCAAGCCTGCCTTCTTACAATTGCCTCTCCTAGAGGAAAGAGGAGAAAAAAAAGCTTTCAAACCAAAGTTCAGTTAAAAATAAGCCTTGAAGTTATGTAATATTATTCGGAGTTAAATAAGTGCTCCAAGTAAGTAAGTGGAGGATACTTTATCCACAGCCACAGAATGCTTTTGCTGGGAAAGTTTTGAGAAGTTTTTGCCTATTTAGAACCACATCTTCACAACGTAAATCTTTAAATCAAAAAATACCACTAATTTAACTCCCCTAAATCTGTTACATACGAAACCAGTATCTGATCAGCAAGTTTCAGAAGCTCTGATATTAACCTCAAAGTTCTGCCATTGTGCTGTTCCCCTGGAAGGAGGACATTAGCTGCTGAGTTCAGACACTGCTAGAAGAGGTAGCACGAGAGCAGCTGTTGCTGAACAACTGTTTTGTCTTTACATGAAGTACAAATATTCCTCCCCTCCCCCAAATATTACCTTAACTATTCTACCACAAACAAGGTCTCACAAATACAGAACACCATTAACGATAAACCAGTTTGTGTGAAACAGCTGAAGAAAGCATCTATCTGCATACAAATACTAACCAATACGCATGTGTGCAGGTGTCTGCAGAAGAATTGTACTGCTCTAACCAGTGTGGTAAAGCATCTTCAGAAGGTACCTGGAGAAGTAATTCAAAGTGGAAATAATATTAGTAAGATTGTTAGTAAAATACATCAAAACTTGCAAAAAACAAAACCAATTTGTTCATTATTATGAGAAAATAGGGAGCACCAATGGTGAAAAAGGTACAGTGTTCTATAATTCGAAGAATATTCAATCAAAATGCAGTCTTGAAGCATGAACAAAATACTTGACACAATAGAATCTCAGGAAGAATAGTGGAATTTCAGAGTTTTTCAGTAATTAACCTAATTTCAGTTTCACTTAGAAGACACCATACATAGTTGCTTATTCAAGAGCATGCCTGTACACCTTACAGAGAAGTAATGCTTTTCCTTGCCAGCCCTGAAAAACCAACCCATTTTATATTACCACAATACAAATTACTTGTATTCAGAAAGCTTTAGATATAGCAATACTGAAAGCATGTAGCTATACTTGCAAAACCATGCTATGCAAAAATAATCCATAACTCTGATTTGACACAATTGTATACAAACATGAGAAAAAAAGAGAAAACAAAAGTTTGAAACTAGCATCATTTTAATGGTTACCTTCTTATATTTCTTTTTCAGGTCTGCACATGTTTCTAGTTTGAGCTGTTTCCCAGTATTTGGTCTGTATACTAAAAAAAGCTTCTTTTTAGGATTCACTTCCTTCACGAGAATAGCGGTTTTCTTGTTATTTCTTATCTGGAAAAAATTAAGTTTCAACATGGTGACAAGTCCTACATTAAACAAGTCCATACTGTGTTCTTAGCCACACTTCATAATAGCATATGTGCAATAAATAATAACCTTAAAGAGTATCACTATATCAAAGTTTTCCTTATAGTGAAAGCACCTGGCTTTCTTGATGAAGGTTTTACATGAAAGCTCCTCACTTAAGCTCACAGTCCTATCTGCAAATACCCAGAGCTATTAAAAAAGAATGCTTCATACTTAAAGAGTTGGAAACAAACTTAACATGAATCTTGAAGTAAAATTAAAAGCATTCTGAATAAACTGAACAGTGACTGACTTGAACATTACATTTTTCAAACTAGACAGCTTATTTGGTTAGCCCCAAAACAGACTTCTCTGAACATACTCATAGACATGAGCAAAGGATCTTACCTGTAGTGATAAATAAAACCCATCGTCCGGACCTGTTTGTTCTGCCCAGAGCTTAGTTGCTTCATCCCAAGACATTCCTCTCTCTACGCTGATCTAGAAGAAGGTCACACAGGGATATTTGAAAAGGAACAGGCATTTGAACAGTTACAGAAATGGGAACTAATGGACTACAGAACCTAATATCAACCAATGAAAGGCACGGAACCCTTCACTCAATGCAAGCTTAGCTGATCACAGTATTTTACGAACTTACTGAAAAGCAAGCTATTAGATCATACCAAAGAGGAAAAAAAAACAACTTACTGTGTATAATTCTACATGTCCAGAGGTAGAATATCCGGGAGTTAAAAACTTCTTAACATCTGCCTTCCTTACTTTCTCATCCCCAGAGCCCAGATCTTAAAAGGAAAGAACAGAGTTATTCCTCTTATCTTTTCTTACCTAATTACAAGAACATTGACATGTTGAGTACTCACCTAAGATGCCCATATCATATCTTCCATTCTTCTTAGCATTTTGAATAACAGCATTTAACGTGTCAGAAAAGTACTGGAATAAAGCATTCTGCTGATGTACTTCCATACCAAGAATTCTATTCAGAAATTTTCCTATGTTGTTATAATCTAAGAATAAGAAATACATACATCAGATCAACAAAGATTAAATTTAACAACAACAAACTTTCAATGAATATTCAAAGCATCTCAAAAGGACTACTTAAATCCATTCTTTCAGAATGGAAGAAAGCATTCAGAAATTCTTCAGTCTTTTTTTTTTAAAAAAAAGATAATTACAAATTCAGTTCTGCTGTTAGGAATCCACTATCATAATATGAGTGGACAGGTGATTTTTCTTAGTGACATTCTAAAGATACACTAAAAGCAAATACCTTTATCAAGTGTTAGAATTCCAGATCTGTCTTCTACATTTATCAAGCCCACACCAATCAATCCTTGACGAACATCTAGGGGAAAAAAAAAAGTTAGATCACAGCTGCTTTGACATCTAACAATAAACCAATGACATAACTTATTTAATCAACCTTGTTTCAAGATTGAATCCCAAAACTTCGATACTCCCAAATACATCGCTTGCAATAGACATAACTTTGCCTTCTGTCCTTTCAGAAAGTACAAGTAAGGAAGACAACCAATGACATTATATATGAAACCACAGGAGAACAAGATACGTTAACTTTGACCATTATCTGTTATAAAAGAGCTATACTTAATACTTTGGCCAACCTGATTCAGAACGTGTTATATTGAGAGAGTTTACGTATCTTGTTTCGTATGTGAACTTCAACATACAGCAAAAATACATAGGAATAAAAAAAATCCACTGACAACCAGCTAATCAGTTCAAAGAGCAACAGTATTTTCTAGCTCTAGAAATACTTGCATTTTCTGTATTCTACAGAATGACCAAAACCAAGTAATTAAATCCAGTGGATTAAAATTACCTTTGAAAAAGTCTCCAGGAAAATCAGGTGGTGGAGAGACCATTGGGGAGTCTAAATTCACAATGGATTTCATAACAATCTCTAAAGCATTCCTGCCATACTGCATAAGAAAAAAAGTTGTTTTAACAACATGATTCAGTGTTTGTGCCTCAGCTCCTAGCATACATGGGTTAAAACAAGCATTTCTGATTCACAGCAGAACTTTTCACTCTTTATTAACTTTTCAGTTATTAGTTACACTACATAACAGCCCAGTGTTAATTTCTAATTACAATTGCCAAATTAATCTTTTAATTTTAAATGAAAAGGCTTCATTGACTTCTGACCTGGATTGTTAGCAGATGCAGAGAACTTACGTGCATATTTCTGCTCTATGTTTTCTGGCTATTTGTAAAGCCACAATCTTAATTCTATTTCAGAAAGAGGCCTTTCATCAAGAAGTAGCAGTTAAAAGTATAAAATGCTTCACATGAGATGGAAGAGGTCATTTGTGGAATAAGCACCACAGCATGAGCTTTCAAACAAAAATAGAACTGTCACCTTGTTGTCAAAATTGAATCTGCTGAGGTCTCGAGTTTCTGTAGCCCGTCTGTCACCGTGGGTGAGGGCTCCCTGTTAAGACACACCTTTGTGATTAGAACAAATTATGGAAACAATAATTTTAGCTCTATTTTCTCAAATGAAGGATCAGATTTCTTGGAAGGATCAGATCTTACCAAGCTTTCCAGTCTTTTTGCAACTATGGATGCAAATCTTTGCTCTCCAGCCAACTCAGAAATTAGGAATACATACTCTGGAGCAGTCACTTGATTGGACCTGTGAGTTCTTCCTGGATAGTTAAACAGAAACACATATATTAAATAAATTCCACTTCAATGAACATTTGAATTGTTGAGAATTAAGAAAATAGTTTAACCCCACTGAAAATCAGCTTCTGCTGTAATACAACCAATGGAAACTGGTACAAAAATAGAGTTTTGGTAACTTTATGAAGAGATTTGATATATGCAAAACAAACTAAGCTGTGGCGTAAATTTGTTCACTAGGTTTCTTTCAAAGCTTTTGAGACTATTAGCTACATGTATGACTATTAATAAAGGTGAATCCACCACAGGTGAAGGAGATTTTTTAAGGATTCCTTAAGAGGCCACTTAGTCATTCTTCACATGAATTAACTGTAAATCTAGTATTACTGAATCTGCTAGGAGAAAGATACAAGAAGAGTTATTTACCAAACTGCTGTATTGCTCTATCCGCACTCCATGGCAACTCCAGAGTCATGTGAACTCTCCGCCTCTGATTCTTAGCTCTACGGTCTGCTTGCAATGAGATACCAGAGCTGGCAGCCTCTGAGATTATGGCAATGTTCTTTTATTAAAAAAAAAAATAAAAAAAAAAGATTTAGTAATAAATCCAAGATCAAGTTTCAGTTTTCAGTTTCACAGAAAAAAATTATTTCAGAATTACTAACATGTCTGGAGTAGTATCACTGTCATTTGGTCTTAATATCTCAAGAAGGGAAAGAGGGGAGGGGAAAAAAAAGTCTGGTTCTCTATCAGAGCTATAAATGCTAACTTTTTTTTTTGAGAAAAGTTTTTTTCACTTTTTGGCAACACCTTTCTATGCAAATGAAAAAAGGCAGTGTTACAGTCTTGCCATTCTAAAGGACACATTTCTCTGATGGGAAGAGGAAATGAGAAGGGACAGAGGGAGACCTGTTCGATAGCAAGCAACAGAGAAGAACTACAAAAAGTTGTGGCTAATACCACGTAAGGAAGAACACGTGGCCATTCTGGTATCTGCATTTGCCTTGAAAGAATTTAAGCTCTTGGACTGTGTGCAAGTCACTTACAGGAACATGAATATTTCCCCTCAAGTGTAATAACAGATCACAGAAGTTCCACACAACAGCTACATTTACTTGATTTGCCCTCTTGTGGTAGCATACCCAAATGAATCAGTTATGGTGTTTGGTTTTTCCTCCTCCTTTTATCAGCTCCAATTGTATCATTCCAGTCATCATTTCTTTTCAGAATACAATTTAAAGGACAAAAGCTATTGCTCTTCCCAGCATTACTTCTCAATCTGTGTTAACGTTACCAAACTCCCACCCATTTTCATTGAAACTCCTTCCCCCTATTGCACCAAGTCAACCTAGCTTTTCCCCCTTTCAACTGTTTTCTCTTCGTAGGAGAAATACACATTAATCCAGATAAAGGAATCTGGAAGACATGGAAGGTTTGTCTGCTTTTTAAACACATGCTGTTTCAACAAGACTAGTTTAAGGGTGCTAGCTTTCCAACTGGCACATGTGTACATGCCTCCTAAGAACAGGCCTCCATGCCCACCCAAACTAGAGCCTGACCTACAAAGAATGTTGTAGCCACATATTAGATAGGACTACTCATCACACTGGTTTGAAAAACAGAATGCACAGCACTGAATAGGAAATGCTTTCTCGCTGGTACTTATTGTACTTAAAGTCACTTACAGTGAGATAAAAGTAGACTGAAATATTCGAGTTGTTGCTCTATGTGACTGACTCATCTAGCAAGTTCTTCTAAATCGTATTTAAGAGCTACCTTATCTCCATCCATGAACCTCTGCTTTTCTGTGATGTTCAGAATTTCAACAGGCACATCAAGTTCAGATCTTGACTCATAAGATATGCTGCCATCATCATTGCTCACAACTCTCCCTTTGCGGCCTGTCATCTTTAAAAACAAAAAGGGAATATAAACTCATTATGATAATACCGAAATTATTACACGCCACAAACTTCAAGCAATGATGCTATTTATTCATATACCAACCTTAAAACACAAATTACTGATTCTGAAATTTACCAAGTACAATACTCCAAGCACAAAGCTACATTTGAGAACCTGCATTTTTTTTGCTTGACGTCATTATCTGCTATGTGGAACACTTATTCAGAGGTGGCTGAGGGAAATCAAAGTACGAGAACATATTTATGCAGAAACATACACTACACCACTGTCCATAACGGATTTATTAGTCATCAAATAATTCTACAGACTACTGTTGAAGTTATGTCTTAAAAAGAAGAGTCTAATGCCTGTCAGAAGTGAAGAAACGCTGTCACATACTAAGAGCTTGCTATTTTTACTCCTGACAACAGCAACTGGGGACATATAAAAATGCTCACAACTCCAGAGGCCTCCAAAGGTACTAGGAAAATGAGCTAAAATGGTAGCTGAGATTGTCAACGATTTTAACATGGTCTTTTAAATCATGATGATGTTTCTACCTGACAAGGACAGGTAGCTTAGAGACATGTTCCTAAGATTTTTGAGAAAGAGATATGATTGCTCACCTGACTTTTCACAAAGTCGGTTTTATTATACAGGTTCTTAATCTTTATTGCTCATATATACCAGCTTCAAACTGACAACAGCTAGTTTGAACTATATACCACTTAAGAGAAACACAAACTAATGTTATTTATCTAATAAGAAACTACCACCAATCTCAGAAACAACCTGGTTATCCATCAGAGCTCTTCCCTGTATTCCAGTAAAATCTTCAAGTTTCTCCTTCATGCAGGGACATTCAGCAAAAATAAGTTACATTCTCATACCTGTGAGATGTCTAAAACTGACGATCAACTTCTCTTTTAAGATACTTAGGCAATACATAACCTTGAATGACAACAATGATTTACTGCTGCCAGATCAGTAACACAGCTGCAGTAGAAAAAAAGTCTTCTCTGAATGTAAACATCAGCCTACCTCTGCAACATTTTCAGGACCACCCAGTTCATCTATAAGCTCATCCAGTGTATTAGGTGGAAGATCTTCAGCCAGCTTTTCCAGTTTATCAAGCAGTTCTTTCTTCATTTGTTGGGCCCTTTCAACAGCATCCTGACTTGTTACAAAGCTGCTGTTTGTGTTACTGTTTGCTGAAATTTAAGAGAAAACCTTTATGATTAGAATTTCACTGCTGAATTGCTAAGTAGGTGAGCCAAACAAGTGAGTTCCAAAGAAATTTATTCTTACCTGATGTGTTGGTGCTAGAAGTAGTGGTACCAACACTGGAAGTAAAACAGCTAGGTCGTTTTGAGCCAAGACCAGAAGCTAATAAGGCACTTTGAATAGAATCCGGGTCTATACTTTTCTTCTTTTTCTTGTCTTTATTTTTTTTATGCTCTTTTCTAATTAGCCAGGGATCTAGGATTAAATAAAATATTTTCAAAAAGTTTACAAGCATTCAACAACAAAATGCATCCTTTCCTCTGAAAACCAATGTTCTTGTCACAAAAGGTGACTTACAGAAGTCTGAATTTTAGTGTGTAAAAATCTGCTGAAGAGATGCAGATCACTCTAGAATTAATTCCTGTCTCAGTAGGATTTAACTACAACCTTGTCATTCACAGTCTTATTTTTGGGTCACTGAAATATTTAAGACTTTACGCTTACTATCTGCAAGTGCAGATACTTGCTTCATGAAGCACTTAAACTGCCTTACCGTCTTCGTCATCTTCACTGGATTCATCTCTGAATGGGTTGAAGTCATCATCATCTCCAGAACTCATATATCTGAGGCTCTCATTGTCACTTTCTTCATTGTCTGAAGCATCAGATTCACTTTCACTCTCATCAGAGCTGCTACCCGCAAGGCCACCTGTTTTACGAGCTTTTTTGGCTTCTCTGCTTACTTCTTCACCTAATGCCATCACCACCCCAGGACAAAGAGGTAAAAAAAAGTTAGTTTAGACCTTGTAGTCTACTTTTGACATTTGTTTTCAACACGACAACATACAAACTGAAAAAATATTCAACATTAAAACCAAATCTGTTTAAAATAAATTTAAATTTTTTCCAGTAACCCCTCCCCCCAACACTTTTAAAATCACTTGTTTTTGGTAAAAGTATCACCAGCCTGTGGAAAGAGGGTACTACTAGGCTTCTCTTTTCTTAGTCATGAGAACAAGGAAGCAGTTATTTGCTTGACTGCATCAGGAAGTGGTCTGATATACAAGCTGCTTTGGGACACAATCCCACACTAGGTATCAGCCCAATTTTTGAATGAATAACTAAAATTTACAGATTGTATTACCTTGGCAGCAGTTTTAAGTCTATTAACAGAAATTTGTAACAGAAGTCTTAGAGACCTGTAATACACGCTCTTCCATGAATATTGGTACTGATACTTACATTCCCACAATTTATTCTTTCCCCCTCAGAGTTCTCTTTTCAGCAATTGTAAAATTGCTATTTTCACTATATTAGCGTAGCAACTCAAGCGTTACCTTTCCGCTTCTTTATTTTGTTCTCCTTGCAAGGGCTGTCTCTGGGTGAATTGTTGTTGCTTTGAGCAGTCAAGTCAATTCCCAACAAGCTAAACAGTTTCTTCCTGTCAGGAGCTGGAAAGTGCTTTTCAATAAGAGACTGGAATACTCCTCTGTTTAAGGAAAAGAAAGTTCAGTTCAATTTGCATTCATCTAAAGTAGAAACTTGTAACATTTGAACAGCTTGACTTCTGTGAAGAATTATTCCTCATGAATGCAATTACAGATGCACCCTGTATAATTATCACCCATGTTACTGTGTTTGTCACCCTCTAAAAAACAGTGGTAGGAGACATTTACTTTACAGCACTGTTACTTTTAACTCATTAAATTGGATTTTGGTGTCAAGTGTTATTGCTGCTGACATTTTCTTACTGCTCAACGTTTAAATGATAGATTAACCTAAATTATTAAGAACTTCAGCAAGGTAGTCTCAGTATTTGATCTGGCTCATCTGATAGAAGTTTTGCTGCAAATGCAGCATGCACTTGACACATCTACCCTCCCGCACACTTTGAGGTAGAACAGCACCAGCTGTTCCACCCGAAAACATCATTTAACATGGCATTAACAGAACCAGGAACTACAGAATGGCTTATATAAGTAATACTGTCAGGCTTCACATACAGGCAGCTTAAGCACAAATTGCTACATGTATTCCAGTATTCCAGTCACTTTGCTAAAGCACAGTTCTGACAAACATCATATCTTACTTTGCTGTAGAAACAAAGTCATTCAGTTCACCACCACCTTCCTCCAAAGCTTCTAGCGTCCTTGCTTCTCCTGTTGACTGCAGGCCAATAACAACACACTAAAGGACAAATTAACACAAGGTACACGTTTCAATACCAGAGTACAAAAGCATGTTGCCACCATACCTTTTAAAATATTACATATAAACAAAAATATTTAGAGGTAAGTCTTCATCAACTTACTTTCCCATTCTTGATTTCTTCCCGAGCCAGCTGCACCACCCTCTTCACTTTAGATGCTATGCAAAGGTACTTGAAAAACCTCTGATGAGCTGACCAAAATTGACCCCACATAGACTTTTTCATTCGTTGTTCTGCATCAATAAGATCAGCTGCTTGTTGAAATCTTTCTCTAGCACAGACCCACTGAAAAAGAGAATGTTAATTGCTTTATGTGTCACATTTCAAGGCTATATAGATACATTCTTTAGTATCCAAATAAAGACAGAAGAGAAGCGTAAAGTTAGGATACTACAGGACTGCAAGTCAAGAAACTCCTTGTACATCAAAGCACACAAAAAGAAAATAGTTATGGCTGAGTGAAGTCAAAATATAATTACTTTCATAATGAAAAGCAGATATTTACATTACTGCCAATGCAAACGCACAGTTTTTTCTAATTATCTACTTTCTCCATTAATATATTCAGGCTAAGAAAGTCAAGAGAACTGCCCATAATTAGGCATAAGCAACAACCAAAAAAAGAAAACTACTGCTTTCACATTTACAGTGTTTTGTTATACTCTTTAAAACTTGTCTAAGACAAGAACAGTAAAGTAAGACTTTTGCATGCTTTTAAGTAAGCTTTGGATACGAGTCTAATGACTTTTAAACAACTTCATAAAGTACAATGCTGTTTTGAAGTTGATGTTATAGCTGTAAAAGAACAATTTTAATTATTGTAGCTATGCAACATGAATACTGAGTCATGCTTAAGCACTTATTCAGCAGGTAAAGACCCTGTTCATTTTAAACAATGTCCAAGGAACAATTAAGCTGTGTCAGGAAGTTCAGATTCCCTATTAGAAAAAAGTTCTTCACTGAGAGGATGGCAAAGCACTAGAACAAGCACCCCAGGCAGGGGATTATGGCTCTAAGCCTGTGTTCAAGAAACATTTGGACAACACTAACATATATGGCTTAACTCTTACACTGAGCTATGTAGAGTCAGGAATTGGACTCTATGATGGGTCCTTTCCAACTCAGGTTATTCTCATTGTAATATTTTTTCCTAATACAGTGGTGATACTGTACAAGAATGTGTACAAATGAATGTGTTTTGTGGACAATGTTAAGAACAACAAGAGATAACCAGCCAGGAAATAATAACATTAAAGGCAACGACAGCTTTGCCAATTCAGACTTGATCCACTGCACATGTAAAACTACTGTCCTGCACTGTTTAACTACAAGCACCGCTCTACCATACTGCTTCCATGAAGAAGTGTGTGCAGCCTGTCTAGCGTTTCTGCAGCTTGTTGTCAGCTCAGTTGCCTAAAGGGGGAGGACTGGAGCAGCTATGGCCAGCAGGAGAACAGCAACATCTAAGGCAACAGTGACGAAGGTCTCTGAAGCACTGCTAGAGGTCTGTGGATCAGTCAGATATTAGGAAGATGCACCCTAAGCTACAGCTTTTATGACTCCAAACAAGAACTAGCAGCTTTTGCCGAAGTCTTAAATGCAAATTTTTACACTAAGATGATACACAAGTAGATGCCATTCCTGTCTTTCAACAAGCAACAGTACTATATTTCATTTCAAAAGCATTTAAGTTTAATGCAAGTAACTTGAACCTCTCAGAACTCAAGACAGGAAGCAAATTTAAAGAAGCATTCTTACCAGTTTCACAGATTTATTGTACATTTTAACATATTCCTGTGAAAGCAGAACTTCATCAATTTTGAAAGTTACACCTGAAAAACTCAACTGTCTAGCTATGTACATTCCTCTCAGTTTCATATCCATAGCAACTATTTCCATGGCACCAACACCTCTAAAATAAAACAAAAAGTGAATGTTAGCATTTTCAAGAGCAATGATTTGTTAAAAACACAAAACAAAATTCAAGTGCTTTACAAATAAATAGCATGCTTACAAACGTGAAGGAATGTTTTCAAAATCATTAGGAGTGTTTAACTAAACAATACTAATAAATAAGGTCTTGAAATCTAGCCTCCACATAGAACTACATGAACTACATCCCTGCTCCTTGAGTACTACATGTACTCCAACGGGTATAAAACACTCAGCTACTTTTTCCCCAAAAATGACCCAGCATGCATTAGGATATCAACTCATTAACCGTAAGTGAATGATTAAATTGGTCCAAACATGTAACAATCTTTTATTGCAATTTTATAAACTCCAACGAGGATTTAAAATAATGGATACAAACTATATTAAGTTATTTTCATACCAGTATAAATCTGAATAATTAAGTTACCTAGTAACTTAAGTTCTCTTCAACAGAAACACACCTTTAGCAATACCTCGAGAGCACTGAAGTCAATTGCAAAGCTAAGCTACTCACAAGCTTGGGCCTGTAATTTCATTATTGCTCGTTTGATGCATACTCAGTAATAAAGTGGAGACTCCACTTGCACAGTCTAGAAAAAGCATGCATCATGTAGATGGTATGTGAGAAGATGCATACTAAGCCCTATTGTAGCATTTTGAAGTGTTCAAAAACCCTTGTCAAGTAGGCAAAAACAGAATATATTAAAATGCTCACCTACCAAAGAATGCAGCAGTGGCATTATCTCCCAACCTCGCACATTTAGTTTTCTTTAAAAGGTCTAAAATACGAAGTACCTTTCAACAGCACACGTCATTTCTCTGAACTGGGTTCTTATGCCAGAAAGCATAAGAACAAGACTTCTTACTGTTAAGCTGCCTAAACTGAGCGCATAAACATTAGAGGGCTTTTGCATATAGGGAGACACTACCTATACTGAGCACACTCAGTATACACAGTGCGTTTTCATGATTAGCAGCAAAACATTTTCACCTCATACCACCACCCACATTTTGAGAGGGCCATTCTCCTAGCCAGCTTCTAAACCTCTCAAAATCTTCTGCAAGTAAGGGAAGCATCTCATCTTTCACCACATAAGATAAATTACATTTTTGCTAGATTTAGAAGCTAGAGGCAGAAAGTCCTTAGTGACAGGATGAGTCTGGGGAGGACTGTGTGTGAGCAAAGACAAAGAAACTGGAAAGCACATTCAATCACAACCATATGTGTTCTTGCTATAGCTCTTCAAATTATTACCTTCTTTCGACAGCCTGAATAAAGTCACTGAATTCCCTAAATGGAGTTCCTTCACCCCATATTCCAAGACGGTTCATGTATGCCATATTTCTTGGCTCAGATGCACCTAGGAGAAGAACACACTTTGTACCAGTGCCAGTAAAAGCATACAAACATTTAATGCGAACCAAGTAGTACATACCTGTGGCACTAGCATAAACAACCCTAGCTTTTGGAAGTTTATTTTGAAGTTCCAGTACAGCCAGACCTGTTTTTGTCGGTTTTGATGAACCAACAGGACACAGATTCTTGGCTTTATGACACTCATCAAATACAATCTGAACCATAATTAAGGAAAAGGTTTGCTCGACTGATTTTTTTTTTTTACCTGAGAGTTAAGAAGAGAAAACAAGAAAGCCTACTAATTAGAGGTAGGTTACAAATGGTAAATTGCACTTTTTACTAGTCACATTTTACAATCAACACTTTAGGAAAAAATATTTAGCTAGTATTTAGTAGCACAACTACCCATACTCTTCAGAATTGAATCCTTCAAAGCATCATCGATACTCCCATACAAAAACACTTAGTATACTGGAGAAATGGAATATGTAAGCTTAAGATTCTTAAGTAACATTTTAATTTTGTGTTCTTTATAGAAAATGCAAAAGCTCTTCTCTTGTACAAGAGTTGTGTGTTAACAATATGATGGTCGTAGATTGCCATGAAGTTTTTTTTTGTAAGGCTTCATGTCTACTGTCAATGCATGAATGCAATTCATTATTGTGTGACAGTACTGTGAGAAAGAACAAATACAGAAGTACCAGAAAATAAAAAAAAACAGGATTGTCTTTAAGGATGTGCGCTGAAACAACAGCTTTGTTACAACCAACTTCAGAAAAAGGATACAACTCCATCAAAGTCTTCACCACACCAGTGAAGAAGCTGCTTTAATCTGGTCTTGTATTTACCACCAGACTGACTTTCACCAATAAGAGAGGAATATGTGGCAAAAATGACACCCTTCTTCACGCTTCCATTGTGTTTGGAAGAAATCTTCCCATACTTGAACTGCCGTAGAGATAAGAAATCAATTATTCAAAGGATTCCTCCTCAGAACCATCTACCATATGACTAAGGCATGCTGGTGGTCTTAACTTTATGGCTTGTACACTTTGAAACCCCTAGACCCTACATCATGCTTAGGGTATATCTGGCTTATGGGAAGTTGGTTAAGAGGTTTTACAGCACTCTGCTTATACATATACTTAAGAAAGACTAGATCTGAGGCCTCAAAGATTAACAGCCAAGTTCTTCAACTTGATGGTTTTCTTAGCTTAAATACAATTAACATTTTTGTTCTGATGCATTGCTTAAAGCTATTTAGAGAGTGTATTTATTGCTGCTACTATAACTGACAATTTCTAGAAGCTTTACTGTATTTTAGAAAAAAAGCAAGAATACTAACTCAAAAGGAATTTTAAGTTCAGACAGGGAACTCAACCAGTAATCACACTTCACAATTTATGTAAGTGGCTAATCCTAAGCAGACAGCACAGAAAATAACTTCACGCGTTGCTGCCATTTTAATACATTCCGAGAAAGTCTATTATACAATAATTACACACAAAGTGTACTACATACAAACTCTGCACTGGTGGTGTAAAAATGAAAACATGCTACAAAGTCTAAAAGATTTAAGGATTATTTCAACTTCTAGAAGATACTCTATTAGTAGTATCAGTAGTAGTTTGAATAATAATGTTTAAAAGTCGTATGCTAAGATTTAATCCTACAAGGGGCCTATTTACATGATTATCTTAAAGCACTGCATGGTTCTCACAAGATTAAGGCCTGTCAAACAAGACCTAGACAGCAGTTTTATTGAAATTAGTACATTCTTGCTCTTAAAACAGTTAACATGCATAACTTGTCACACAAGCGTACCTAAAGTTTTGCCTCAACTGTACATAGTAAAAAGTTTCCACACCTTGTTTAATGAATGAACCAAAATGTTTTTTGCTCCAATATCTCTCAAGTCTCTTTCAGCATCGTATTTCAGATCATTCGACACGCTAAACCTGAAGATATAAAAAAGCATTTAAGTTACAGCAGTTCAAAGAGCAGTTCAAACATTTTTCAGAAGACAGATTACACTGAATTTAAGTACTATAGTCACTATAACATCTGCTCTAACAAATCCTTACACACTTACCAGACTGCTCTTTTTCTGCCTAACAAGTAATTTTCATAGATTATCCCAGCTATGGTCCTTCCTTTTCCTACACCAGCACCATCACCTATCAAGAATCCAGCTCTGTCTCCATTGGGCAGGAATGTTTCATGTTGCTGTAGGAGAAAACAAAAACTTGTACTCATTCTCCAAAACACATCACTGCGGATTGTCATAAGCAAGCCAACATAAGAAACATCCTATCGGATGAGACCAGTGGTCCACCCCACCAAGCAGTTTCTGACAAAATGAAGTTTCATTGAGGGAGAGCATACGAGCTTGACGGCTCTACATGGTTCCTGATCCCTGCCTCCTTCCCTCAGCACCTGGAACTGGAGTAGAAGATATGCATGGGTCTAGTCACTAACAGAACACTAGCAGAATTTTCTTTAAACCCTTTGATACGGTCACTGCTTACTTTGTAAAGATTCTCTTATCAGTTTCACCAAGCTCCCATTTGTGCCCATTTTGGGGAATCTGATGAATAAATCATAAATCTTGATTTTTCATCCCCCCTTTATTCTTCCGTCTTCTTCTGCCTTAGGCCCAGACTTTAAGTCTCAAATACTCAAGGGGCAACTTCTTCCTACGACCATTTTATTTGTCCTCTAACCTTCACTACCTTCCTGATTTACGGAGAGCTGCATACTCATTATCAGACATGTGCCCACTGAAGTTTTTAATACAGCAGTAAAACACGCACAAGAGACGTAACATCTAGCATACCTGGGCTGCATAAGTGATCGCTTCAAGTTGCAAAGCTGACAGCCAGCCATTATCAATTGTTTCTTCTGATATCGATGTCTGGTACCACACATCAGGAGGAGTTACACTGGATAAGGAGCTGGTTTCCACTACCGGGTCAGGATGACGTAGACCAATTTTTACTGGTTGGGAAGGTAAGGGGAGGAAGGAAGAGGATGAGAACATCATAAACAGATCCGTTGCTACAGAAAAGGTTAGTTTATTTTCTAAAACAAACTGCAGTTGACCACTGCAAAGGTTGAACTCAAGAAATACACTTCATTGTTTACTCTAAGTCATGTTAAACTATCACATACAAAGGAATATATCAACCTGGGTTTACATAACTGCAATTCGTAACTGTTTCTCTTCTAACCACTTTCCATCAATTTTAATAAAGTTATATAAAAGCTCATTGTATTGAAAATTAAAAATATTTATGTACTCAATATGTTTGAAACTGCCCTGAACTTTGCCTTCCCCAAAAAAATAGAGGCAACCTCAAATGTCAGAATCACAAAAGCAACATTCTTCTCACTATTTATACAGTGCTGTTTTTAAGTAGTACGAGAAGAGAAAAGATTTAGAACAGACATGGTTTAATTACTGACAGATATCATCCGTGACAATAAAAATTAACCATTTAGCTGCAAGCCTCACACAATTTTTTTTGCTTTACTTTTAGAGCTGATCATTAAGTAACTAGTAAATAAGATTAGACCTTTTTGTCACTAATTACAATAAAGAGGGAAAAGGAGAAAAGAGAGGAGATGGCAATTAACAGCTGTAAGAGATTTGCTTCCTTTTTAGAAGAATAAAAAGGCAATTCTAAGAAATAAAAATCAGGAACAATATAGGAAGAAAGCACTTAGGGTAAACTTCATACTGAAAGACTCAAAATGGATTTTAAGGATATTAGTGACCACTCAAACTTTTTATAAGACAAGTTCCTCTGCTGAGGCAGAAAACTTAGAGATAAAAAAAAAAAAACAACAAAACCTTAAGAGGTAAAAAAAACCCGATTTCAGTTCAACTCTATTTATGAAACAGGCAGTGCTCAACTAACGCCTTTCTTATTAAAGAAAGGAACATTACCTTCCAAAACTAAGTGCTATAGAAGAAAAAAAATCCTAGGGAAAAAAACACCATAAATTCAGATTTTTTCTTCATTCATATAGAAACCCATAGGACTTATGGTGTATGCTATTCACTCCAGTCTAGTTACTAAAAGGTGTCAAAACTTTTCAGCATTTTAATGCAATTAAGCTTTTAGGTCATACATTTTATTGGCATATACTCAGCGTAAGTTTCTGCATGGCCCATTTCTTCTTCATCTTCTTCCTCAGGTTCCTCCTCCTCTTTTACTGCTGGCACTTTCTAGAATAGAGGAATATCTGCATTAGAGTATTAATAACGTGCTGTTTGACTATGTCCTGAAAATTAAACTGAGAAACATAATGAACATAAACTTGCACTTGACTTTCCATAGCACATGCAATAGAGCAGAAGGGCAAACTACAAAAGGAAATGTACATCTCTTAGGCTCTGAAGGTATCTTCAAACACAACATCATGGAGCTTCCTCTCCCTTACAGAGAGACTCACTACAGCATTTTAAGCCCAAGCTTAAAGAAAGAAACTTAAAGAAAACAACAAGTTAAAAAACTAACTTTCAGGTACTCCCATGAAGACTCTTCTAGTTGCACTTTCATTGCACAATTTCACACCTTCAGGGAACAGTTACAATAGTTACCACAGTTATACCCAGTATTCTCCCAAACTTGACAGTTATCCATTTTTACTGTGATTTTCATTACCGTAAATACACTAATATTTTAAAACTCTCTAGACAGCAACTCAAAGTCTTTCACAATTGATATTTAATATTTCAAAATTTGCCCAAAGAAATTTTTTGTGCCAGTTACTGAGGAGCACTGCTCATCACAATCTTCAACCCAATTCCATCAGTGAAGATGCTGAAACTCTAAAACATGTTCTGCTGCTGTAAACATCTATTAAAATTTAAGGCTATTGGATGATACTCTATTTACATCTTAAATCAAACCACCCAAAATGTCAGTCATGCTAGAGAAAGTCTCCTGGTTTCCTTGTTGCTAGCTACACAGAGATATTTAAAAGAAAAACATCTTAAAAACACACAGCAAGTGAGGTGTTTATCAGCTTTAACTGGAGCACATCCTTTCATATCCAAACAACAAGGTGCTGTTAAAGATAACTTCAAGTAATTGTCATTTGGTATGCAGGCTGCCTGGTCTACATGGCTGTTAGTTTTAGTCATCTAATCAAGTACTCTTAGTGGAGAAGCAAACCTTTTGAAGAAACAGATGCACTCAGTACAATTCTACCACAACAGGCAAATACAAGTAACCACTGAAACTAGTCACAGTTGGCTGGGGCCAATAAAATATAAACTCAATTAGCAGATTAACTACTTGTACTACTTACCATAGTTGGTGAAAAACTCCTCATTTTAATATCGTTTATCCATATTCTTGCTACCTCTTTTGTGGAAGCCTCCTTCTTCACTGCACCATTGCTTAGATCAGCTACAAAAAAAAACAACATCCGCTGTGTTTTACAGGAATTCCCTCTAAACGCTGACTCAGATTTCAACACTTCTCTTCCAGCTCATTAACAGAGAAGGACACTATTGTTCAGTAGGACACAGGTGCTTCATAACGCTATCATTATTTATGTCCAAAAATAATGTATCCAAGCACACAAGGATTAAGTTCCACTACTACTTAAGATTTCCCATGCAATACCATCACATCTGACACAGGTGTGCATTAGTTTCAAAATAAAGAAAGAAACCTTCACCAAATCTAGATACAATATTTAGAAGTACTCTACCTTGTGAACTTCTGGAGTTTAACAACAAACCAGAAAGCCCCATGTTTCAACAGTAATGAACGTACCTGGTCTGGTGGCATTTACCACCTTAGGAACTACAATTATGTCTGAAAAAAAGAAAACCAACTTTGGTCTCGTTGTTTAGTTTATAACAGGATCCTTCAAAATGGAGATCTACTAACTTGCCTGTCCTCACCCACATTTGGCATCAACTAGCAATACGGTTCAGTACAGAATTAAAAGAAATTCACGCAAGGATACATGTAAAACAATTAAAGGAGCTATCAAGCTTCCATGAGGTTGATAGTCAATACTTGTATTAGATTTCATGCAACTGACCATAGGAAACAAAACAATTGCACAGAAACCATTTGCATCAGAAAGGCTGCATAATTTAAGTTTTTGTTTACAACCTGTAACTTCTGCTGCTTGAGTTGTATGAGAAGACCACGCTTCCTTCCACAAGCTCCTCTGCCCAGGGTTTTCTACAAGTACTTACCAATTTTTTAAAATTATTTTTGAATAATAACAAAAAAGGTCCAAAACCACAAGCACATAAATAAGACTAGAAATGTGGTTCTAGAAGTCATGTTCCCTTACTTGAGAGGATGCACATTCAACTACTTTCTGCAGCTGTGCCACTACACCACCTATGGGGTCTTGCTACTTCCTCATTATTTACATGCTTCTGTGAGCTTTCATTTAGTACAAAGAGACTGAGATCCTATAAAACTCTTTCCTGTTCTCCCTCACTGCTTTTCCTGCCTCCCACCCCTCAACTTCAGTTGTTTTTTCAAGTTCAATTCAAGAACAGTGAGCAAAGAGGAACATTCTTGTTTCCATCCTCACAGATGGCTTCATTTAGAGTGCATTCTACCTGCATATGAAAAAAGGCATACTTTCATCTCTGCCTATAAAAATTAGCAACATTTATTTCAGAGACAATGATAATATAGTAACACAGAAGAAGCCCGTGTACTTCTCAGGAGAAGCAGCAATAGAGCTATTTTCAAACTGAAGTAGCCTAATCTTACCTCATGCTAAAAGCAGAATAATTCAAAAGAATGAAACCAGTATGTTTCATGCAATACTTTAGACATCAAATTGCAATTTAAAAATACACATGCACGCAGTTTTTCCCCTTTTATTTAAGCTAATCGTGTTAGTTAACTACATGTTAGAAATAGCATACAAGAAAAGACTATGAAAGGTATCACAAGGTGAAGACTTAGAGCATGGTAACAAAATACTTCTGGCACATAACACCATCTTTAAGCAGTAACATGGAAGCAAACAAAGTTTTTAGCACATTTTCTTAACACAACAGGTCTGATGCTTCCCATGAAATTTACAGGGCTACCAAGATTCTCCTTTCTTGGGAGATACTTTAGAGAAACACCGTATGATAGGAGTACTACAGATCTGTTTTGGAAGATGCAAAAGAACAAGCCCATCTGTTGTAGTTCCACAGCAAACATACAGCAGAACAAGAACTCACACAGGCTCAAGACAGCTAAGCCATCAACTTCAGTAATGCCCACAAATTAATTTTACAAATTTGCCAGCTGCATTTTAAAACATCATTTTCCCCATTCCTTACAGTAAACTGAAGGTGTTACTTCTTAAAAGCCTGTTATTTTTATTATTTCACCCCGAATTGGAGTTTGAACAGAATTTATAAGGTTTTCTGGACACTTTCATTTTACTGGGATATTCCAAAAATCAACCAAAATACAAGATGTACAAATATTTTCACACAAGATGATTTTACCATTTAACCAAAATACTGTAATTATGAAGAAAGAAGAACACTCACTTGCTGCTGTTGCCACTGGTTGGGCAATGTTAGGAGGTGGCTTCAATTTCATTAGTTCATTAAGACTATTATTCTTCAGAAGATCTTTCAGCTGAATCTGGTCCTTCGATGGTGCAGTGGTCAAGGCATTCCGTACTGCTGGTGCTGCAACTGAGGGTCGAGTAGTCGTGCTGGTCTGAATGATTTTTGCTACAGTAATAGTCTGCCTTGTGGTTGTAACAGGTGTTGTTTTTGTCATCACTATTGTAGTCCCCAAAGTTGGAAGCTGATTTATTTGATTCAGCACAAAGGTTGTGGTGGATGGTGGTTGCTACCAACAAAGAACCAGGGAGATTTTTCAGACAGCAGTGAAAAAAGCAGACTATTAGCCTTTCAGCTAGAGCACAAAAGTGACCATTTAAGAACTCTGTTAATAAGAATTGCCTTGTGGTACAACAGTCTGAGCACTAAGCGTCTTTCAAAACATTTATCACTATATTGCTGTATGTTTTTGCATTTTTTTTTTTTTTTTAAGATAAATAAATAGGATGAAGGATTAAATATCTAGGCACGAAACACAACTTCTACAGGTATAGAAACTCTAAACTGAAGAGAATTTCCAACATACAAACTATCTCCACAGTTGTGGTGCTCAGAATTATCTGCAGTTACAAAAGGTGATGCATAGCTCAGGTACAGGCTTCAAATTCACAAAGCTTTCACATACCCAGAATATGCATGCAGGGGAAGTAAAAGGCACACTGGACACCCCAAAATGTTTTTCTGCATGCTGTTTGTCTTCTTTGGTTCTCCTTGTCATAAAAATCCTATCAACCCATGGGTCTGTTCAGCTTTCACAGGCTCAAAATACATAGCACTGAGATGATGTCTAACTGGCACATTACAGTCCTACCTCTTGTATGTGTACCTTAGTGAAATGTCACAAAAAGCCCTGAAGTTCTTACCCGAACATTTAATAAGGCTGGAGTTGATACTGTCTCTGGTTCTTGTTTCACAGCAGCTGTGGCCTCGGTTTCCAAGCCTAGCTCTAATGCACTAAGTGGCACTGACTGCAGAGGGAAGAAAGAAAGTATCACTAGGTACTCAGATTAGCAGGAAATCGAATTCAAGTCTAAACACCCACCCACAAAATGAAAGTTAATGGGGAAGTCCTTAACTGAGCTTATTAACAAAGGCTGCACTGGAAACAAAGGTCATGAAGTGGTTATTTCCATCCAGAAAAGTTAAAAACCATTAGTTAACTGCAGAGACAATGTTATTAGGTCCGTGATGTCACTGACATTTTATAGGAAGCAGCCAGAGTCCAGTGATATTAAGAGTGTGGACATTTTAAGGGAGGGCAAGAAAACTCCAGTAACACAGAGTCCTCTATGGACACATGACACTACATCCCCATTTAATGTAACGAAACCAGGCAAGTTAAATATATGACTATAGTGACCTCAATAGCGTGTTTCAGATTGCGTTAGTTTAAAGCTTAAAATGATCTAACAAGTCATTTGCCAATCTCAGCACTATGAAGCAATAAATTTATGAAAATTCCACATTCTTTGAACATTTGCTAGTGGACCCTCCCTCCTCTCCCAATACATCAAGTACAAGCTCTTATGTCCTCTAGCAAACAACAGTGTTCTTGTTTTAACCTGCTGAACAGCTGGAGTTGGAGCTGGATTTGCAAGAACCACGTCCGGAGAGTCAATATCAAATAGATCATTTGGACTGATTCCACTCTCACTCAAAGCAGCAAGCAACAGATCTTGTCCTGGCTCCACCATCTCTAAAAAATTAAGATCATAAATACAAGTTACATTTAATTGAGGTTTAGTGTGCATGTGCACAGCCAGTTCAAGTTTCCTTTCCTAGATTTAAGAACGCGTGCAGTGCAGTCACCTGTCTACACAGTTTCACTTTCTGTATTTGTTCCGGCTCCTTTGTTCGTTTAAAAAAATAATCTACAAATCTTTTCAATATGCTCAAACTTACAAGTAGGTAGGAAAAAGTTTGCTACAAAGAATGCTATGACACTCGTAAACTTACAGAAAAAAGGCCTTTTTAGTCTTCATCACACTAGATTTTTAAGCACGACAAGAAATATCAAGAGGCAGAAGTGGCGAGACTATTATGCTAATGATGTGTCTCTGTCAGAGAAGCACAATTAAAATTCATTTAGTTTATCTTGTAACAACAATTTAGTGATAAAAAGCTTGTAAGGAAAGCTTTTATTTCTTGCGTACCGTTTCATTAGGTAGTAATTCATTCATGGGAGAAATTTTGTTTTGCATAGTGGGAAGAACAAATGTTCCATATTGTAGTATGTTAGCTACACATTAAATAGGACACTAGCATCAGGTCACAGGCTCCTTCATGTGTAGGACAAGCAATATTAATTCCAAGAAGCTTTGCTAGGCAGCGTATAAACTTCTGAAAAAGCCAAATGCTGTTCAAGACAGATGCGTTTTGCTCTCCTAAGGAAGCCCATTTGCCCTAGTCCTAAGAGAAAAACTGAATTTCACTCATTACCTCAACTATTGCTTACATATTCCAAAATACACTTCAAGCAGAAATTCGTTTCACTTGCTTTCCACACCACCACCACCCCCCATTGGTAACAAACCAGAAAACCAACAGAGCTGAACACATACTCTAAAGCAGATAAGAACACAAAAATATTTGCCATTTCCGACACATTCACAGAGGAAGCAGCATTCAGTCACTCATCCTTCTCTACGCGTACACTGAGCCACAGCCAGCTGGTCGGTTGCACACACCACCTAGCACATTTGGCAGAACAGGTAATTCTTGTAGTAAATAAAGCCTCGGGCATTTAATTCTTGTTCTTCCTAGCTCTAGTATGCCTGATAATAGGGAGAGACCTCCTTTTAGTGGACCAACTCTCAGACGGTGGCATAACAGCTGGAGGAGTGGACGTACGGTACAGGGACAAGGGGAAGATGTACTTTTAAGCCTCAAAGACTGTTCTGTCTAGAAGAATACCAAAGCAACAAAATAATCAGTGGAACTGCTACTAACCCAATGCCACCCCATTAAAGGCCATTTGCTATGTCAGAACTATACTCTGACCTTTTTTTGCCTAAGAAAAATAAGGCACTTGAGGTGATCAGCCAAGTCGGCAGAACGGCCTACTTTGTAGTTTATTGGCACGGCAGATCTGAAGATAGCGAGCAGACAAGTTCCGTGTCAGCTCCTCCAGAGGACGTCACCTCCCATGAGTCCGTCTCCTGGAGCCCCGAATGGGTCAATAAAAGCGAGTAAGAGCAGACTGCTGGCTTTACCTTTCGGAAGCATTAAGCCCCCTATCTCATGAAAGGGGTCTATAAATACATACGCACATCGAAATGGGAAGGATAAATCTAATTTTCCTCAGGCTAAAATACTGACAGCGATCATTTTGTTTAAAGGCTTGCAGCATTGTTCCCTGATTATAAACTGGTGGGAGGAGAAGGATGAAGCCTGAAAAATGAAGTTTGGGCTTCTCAATCCTTTTGGGGTTCGGAACTTCAGCCACTGCAGGTGAGTTTGTACAGCGAGGGGAATTAGCACTGGTCACTCCTTCAAACTGGCAGCCCTGAAACACTTCACACTTGTAACTTTGCAGCTTTCATTTGGAAAGGAGCAGGCACTCTTCTGTACAGCACAAACACCTTTGCTCAACACAGTCAAACAAGAACATCTAAAATGTACAAAAAGAGTGACAGTTAGGTCATTGTTCAGCCTGCACATAGCTTTGCTCGAGCCATCTCTAGGAGGAGCTATGGCTAGAGCCCAGCTGAGAGGTAAGTACGTCCCTCTGTACAGAATAGGGGGCATGGGAAAACAGAAGCTTGGAGCTGTTTACTTAAGTATTCTTTTGTTCTAGTTCCCTTTAAGATAACTTCTAGTCTAGTATTGCAATACGAGGCAAGGACTTCCTATGAAATTAAGACTCAAACCAAGCCTAGGAAAAATAACAGCACCACACAGAAACACACCTTGCCCAACCACTCTAAAATGGTGCCACAACCTATCAAGTCTGTTTAAGGTCAAGTTTAACAGAACAATTACACTGAACACTTCATTTTTAACCCTTATAAACACAATGGCTTGTATATTTGAATCAGGGTGAGTTCTGAAAATCAGTCACAGAAGTAATTTGTTAATTGCTTGCTTCAAAGTTTCTGCGAGATGAGCAGCAATAAAAGCCAGCATAGCAATTCCTAGAATTCCAGAGTGCGTATGTTCAGCTCCGAACCCCCACTTTCCTACCAGAGCTGTCTTCATACGAGAAATCCCCCAGCTGTATTCCTCCCATGCTAACTCCTGGTTTAACAGTCTTAAAAATTAGCTTTGGCTGGACTGCTAGCAACCGTTAAGAGAAACAACAGCGATTGTTTACTTGTCTGTCAGACAGCTTGGACAATGAAAGTTTGACTAACTAGTTTCATTTATTTTGTTTCTGGATGGTGGGAACAAAGCTGCATTGTTTGAAACTAGAACAAAAGGAATTCTGAACTTCTAGAATTTTTACATTAAAAGCCCTGAATACTTGGCACCAGTTTTAGATTTTGTGAACCTTCCAAGTGCCACCGCGCTGCCACCCCCCCCTTTTCTCCCATGTAGTTTTAGATTAGTAAGGGAGAGAAGATGAAAAAAATACATAGGAAAAGCTGCATCTTGATAGCTTATTTTATTTTTTGTGACATACACTAGTCAAGCCTAAAACGTTATCAGGCTGAAACAGCCCCATAATCTTGCAAGGTAGGAGGCTTCCTAGTTAACATAAGTGAAAACAACTTTATCAGGCTCTGCAGCTCAGCTTTGGCAATACTATATAAGGACCTGTTTGCCACATCTTAAAAAACTCCAAAAGAAAATATTTATAAAAAAAAAAGTTGTGAATATTACAAGCTGTTCCCTGAGCATTTCACCAGTTGAAGAGCCGTTCTGAGCATGCAGAATCTTGCAGACAAGGTTGTCTATGTTTAGTCAGGCTGTCCAGTGTCACAGAGCAAGAACCAACCTGTTAGATAAAAACTAAAAATATGGATTTATAAAATTTCAAATGGTAGTGTCCCAGCTATTCTTTGCATTAAAAAAGAATACAACCTGCTGCCATTTCAAAGAGGCCTATGAAAATATACCGAACATTTTTGTAAGGTACTATACTGCTGAAGAACAGGGCCTGAAACTTTGATAAAACGACAGTTTCCCTACCACTGTGCATTATGTAAATAATTCCTGATTTAAAGAAACAAAACCAGAATGCCATGTTTAATATTACGACATGTATCCATGCCAACCTGGCTCTCTCCCTCCCTCCATTTTAGCTTTGTTAGAAAGACAGAAAACAAAAAAAAAAAATCTAAAGCACATGGAGAGCAACCTGCTCTCGAGTTCCCCCAAGAAGAATAGGGTAGAATCTGAAACCATGAGAAGGTTTCATTCCTAAATCTGTCAGTTCCACATCGTGACACTGTATCGGTTAAGAACCTATAAAAGGCACTGAACTACAGTATCACAACTTAGCCTGAAGTTAACATCCCAGTCAGCTAGGGAAGCTGTTACTAAACCCTTCAGACAGCCGGCCTCTGGCATGCCCAACCTGCAAACTCGGTTTTAATGCTCAGCCTGCAACACTACCACAGTTAAGCAACTAGTTCTCCTTTTATTAGGAGGAGCTTTCTGAGGAACACACGTCACTTAAGCTATATTGGAAGCCATGTGAGGTATCATGCAAATCGTGATGCAGCACTGAAAGGCAGATGTGTACCCCGGCTGCCTGACCTGTGCACTAGTGGCAGCAAAAACATTTCACAATCCCATGGCAGCCTCGCACAGGAGATGTGTGAGGGCTGTTAACCCCCAGTCCCACTCTATGGGATTTGGCTGGATATCCACAGGGGTTTGGCTCATCCCTAGCTTTAGACTCCAGAAAGTAGCCTGGGTAACAACAACAGCAACAAAAAACCTGAGCTCAAACCCAATCCCTTCTGCTCCTTTCCAGTCACTACCCAATCAAGGAGTACAAGGCTAATTACCGAACTCACCCATGCTTCCACGCTTTAACCTCAGGACTACTGGCTAACGCTGCAGTTAAATGCACAAAGTTATCTTCAGATTTCTGTGAAAAGCAGCCCAGTCCTGTAAATACCCTGCCAGTTGTTCAAACACTGCTTCTCTCCCCAAAGAGAAACCCACGAGGACACGAGGCACAGCTCAGGATAGCACACCGTGGGATTCAGCTCTGCCCTAAAGCTCTCTCCCAACTGTCTTATGAATTTTACAGCAGGCAGGACGTACAGAACCAAGATGGGAAATCCAGCTTTTTTTTTTCCTTAATATTAGAAGGAAAAACAATGCAACGATTTGACGTGAAGTCAGCTTTCAGACTAGACACATAGAGGTTAAGTTAGCTGACAGGAAAGGTTTTTAAGAAATAAAAACCCAAAAGAGGTGATCACAGCACCCAAACACCAGAACCCTTCCTCAGTTTTGCCGTGAGAGTCAGTTCCAGGTGTAACCCAAGGCACAAGCTCCTAGAGCAGCTATCAACCTGTTCTGACACCAAAGAACTTGTCCGGACAGTAAGACAAACTACCCACGTTTTTATTTTTAAAGACTAAGATCACATTAAAATAAAACAGCACACCAGCAAGAAAGAAAGATAACAGGAAAAAAAAATCTGAATGTCATGCTCTTACACAACTCCTACCGTAGTAAATTATTTGCTTGACATCATCAAGTTCTTCCATTTAAGAAACTCGCAGAATATCCTGGTATTTTCACTCGCTACTTTAATCCAGACAATTTATGTACTTCAAAGGCAAACAGCCTATCGCCGAGTTAAGAATTAACTACAGGTTTTGTGTTTTTGTGTAAGAAATCGTCGTTTGCTCACGCTAATAACCTAACACGTTAATTTAAATGGTTTTTACGCGTAAGGTACTAACCTAACCTTTAGCAGGCACCCAAGACCAACAACCACGCTGCAAGCACCTAGAGAAAGAGCTCCGTACTCCTCGTTTCTCCCCTCCAACAAAGCGCGGAACCCGGCCAGATAAAAATAACAGCGGGACGAACGGGAGGGAGCCCCGCAAGGCCTCCACCCCCCCACACACACACCTCAGGGCTCGGCAGGGACGCGGGGCCCGCTCCCCCTGGCAACCCGGGGGCGAGGCGCGGCGGCCCCGCAGGCGGCCGGGGGGAGCCGGGGGGGAGCCGCCGCCACGTGGGGCGGACAAAAACTTCCGGGTTGGGCCCGGAGCGGCTGCGTAACCCCGGTACCGGGGGGCGCTTCGGCTGCGGAACGCCGGTACCGGGAGCCGCCTGGCTGCGCGGCCCCCCCCGCACAACGAGGAGAAGGGGAAAGGGCGCTGGGTGCACCGCGAAGCACCGGGAATCCCCTCCGCGGGCAGCGCGGCGGCCCCGCAGCCCTGAGCCGAGCACAAAGGAGCCGGGGAAGCCGCGGCGGGGAGGCCGGGGGCTGAGGGGAGAGGCCGGGGGACCCAGGGGAGGCCGCCCGCCCCCGCTCCTCACAGCCCCGCGGGGCTCCCCGCCCGCCCGAGGCCCAGCCCGGCCCCCGCCCCGCTCCCAACCGCCCCCCGCCGAGGCCCGGCCCGCGCCCAGGCGCTGAGGCAGGCTCGGGGCCCGCCGCCACCCCCGGCCCCTTCCCCTCAGAGCCCCCCCAGGCCCGAGCTGAGGCGCTGAGGGAGCCCCGGGAGGAGGCCTCGCCGCGCAGGGAACGCCCCGAGGAAGCCGCGGGGAGCGGCGCGGGGCTCACTCACTCGCTCGCGTCTCGCTCCCGGTCCCGCCGCGGCCGCTCCCCGCAGTGCCCGCCGCCGGCCCCGCCGCTCTCTAACTGCCGGCCGCCATCTTGGCCCTCCCTCCCCTCTCACAGGGGAGGGGAGGCCGGCGGGGGAGGGGGGGGGGAGGAAGGAGGGGGAGGGCCGCCCGCCCGCCGCGCCGCCCCACGTGACCTCCGCCGCGCACCGCCCCCACGTGACGCCAGGCGCTGCCCGCCGCTGGCGCGCGCGCGGCGGGCACGTGACCCGCTCCCCCCCCTCCCTCCTTTACCCGCCAAGGCCGCGCGCGCGTCACGTGACCCCGCCGCCGCCTCGCGGCCCTCCCCCCCCCCCCCCAACCGCCCCCGCCGGGCGTTTTGGCGCGCTCCGGCTCGCGCCCGGCCATCACGTGACGCGCCGCTCCTCTTCCCGCCCCGCCCGGGCGGCGGCCGGTCCCCGGGAGGGGGGAATAAAAATTAAAAGAAAAAATGAAAATAAAAAATAAAATAAAAAAAAATAAACGGCGAGAGGCTCCCGCGTTCTCAAAAAAGCGCCGGGCCCAGGCTCGGGGCGGCGGCCGGAGCCGGGAGGGGCCGGGCCGGGCCCGGTTCCCGGGGGTGGGGGAGGGGAAGGCGGAGGCGAGCGGCTGCAGGCGGTCACGTGATCCCGGCGCCTCCAAGATGGCGGCCGCGGCGGGGACGCGAGAAGCGGCGCTCTCGCGAGACCCGCCCCGCGCGGGGCATCATGGGAAGAAAAAAAGAGCCAGGGGCTGCGCGGCGGGGTGGGGGACGGTGCGCATGCGCGATGGCAGGGCGGGGGGGGGTGGTGCTCAGGCGCATGCGTGTTGTTGAGGTGACCGGGGTGTGCTTGTGCGCATGCGCAGCCGCTGAGGCGCCGCGGAGGGGGGTGGGGTGCTGTGCTCAGGCGCATGCGCAGTGCTGAGGCGGCGCCTGAGGCGGCGGAGTGGGACCGGTCCTGAGGAGCCGGGGGGGCTCGGCCCCGGCCCGCCGCCATCCGCGGGGCTCTCTGGGGGTCTGCGGGGCTTGGGCACGGTCCTGAGCCCCCCCCCCGGCGAGGATCGCCCCTTTCCGCCGCTCCCCTGACAGGAGCTGCCCGGCCCCCTGAGGAGAATGCGGCCGAGGCTGGCCTGGGGGTGCCCCCCGGCTGTGCCCCCACACGGCTCGGCCCTGACGGGTGGGCCGCAGGGTGTGGGAATCACTGCCGCCAAGACCTGGCTGCTTGAGAACCCGCCGGCTGCACGGGCTGGCTCTACGTCTGGAGAGCGTTGTGCCACTGAAGGCCCTCAGACTCGTTTTTTTGCTAAAAGGAAGGCTTTCGTCAAAAGGTTTACCCAGTTGTGTAAGAATGCAACAGTTTCGAAGGATTTTCACAAAGTTGAAGCAGGCATAAAGCGTGGGCGGTAGTGAAATCTGTTTAAAATGTTAAGTACTGCGCATTCAATTTTATCCAAGTCCACCCCCTTCTTTTTATTACACAAAAATCAAGCAATAAAAGTTAGGCAATTTAAGATCTAAGTAATTTAGATCAATCAGTGATGCTTCAGACACTAAATGGAGGAAAAGATGACAGACGGCTGGCCAGAGATTAGAACAATTTAAATGGCACCTCACTTCTCGACTGTTGCCCTCTACATACCTCAAGTAAAGGCACAAAGGAGTACAGGTCACATACAGCATATTTAATGCTAAATGCATCTGAACAGCACCACACAATCATGACAAGAAAGTGACATTTCTGATGTCTTGAGTTGAAAAGAGGCCCGGGAGCAGAGTTTATGATCATCCTCAACTGGGAGGTGAGTAACCCACTGGTGGCACTGCTGCTCCCTGCTCACGTGTAATTACCACATGAAAAGCTATTTCCCTATGACCTGAAATATGAAATAAGTATGTCACCAAATGCGCTTTTTGGTTAGAGAAATTATTTTTTTTTACCACTGGGTAGATGCTACTCTGAATGTATTTTTATAATCAGGGAAATGGAATTGATGCCTACTAACATTTTTCTACACAACTTTGTAAAATATCATTGCTTAGCGTAGCACTCAGCAGTTACCCTCAAGGCATTTATTTTTACTTCCTTTCCGAGGGAGAGGTACAGTGGCTGAAACAAAATTGTCAGCATTTCATCTCGTAGAGAAGCAATCTGCGTAAATGTTGTGATGCTTCATCGCAAATTTGACAGGTGGGAAAGTGAGACACGCAGCAATCACTCGTGCTCAGTTGGAAATACTTAACAAGTGTGTCTTTGTGGTGTGTCTGAAAGAAATTTAACTGTCAGATTCAGAGGCACCCAGTCCTAAAAAGATGTTTAAGAAACTGATTTGAAGTGTTAATGGAGACTGGATGTATTTACTCTTAAGATTTTTTTTCCTTTCTGAGCACACCCAGCGCCTTGCTCGTTATTTCTCTTGCTGTCCGTTTCACATTTCACTGTCAGAAGGTTGTGCTCTGAGGAGCTGCTCTGACGCTCTCTGGGAGATGAGATTTGGGTCACTGGGTTCCACAGCTGGTGTGAGGAGGAGCCCTGCTGCTCTCTCTGGAGCACTCGGCAGGCCGACGCTGCGCGCCGAGTCACGGTGACTGGCACTGGCGGCAGGCACATCCTCCGTGGGCTGCGGGCTGATAACGCTGGAACTTCCCCTCGGCGCTGGCTTTTTGGCCACAGCTCCCCGAGGAGCTGACGCAGGGAAACCAGCCCCTTCTGTGGGGAGCGGAGGCCAGCTGGGGATGACGCTGTTTTCTTTGTTGCTCTAGAGATGAAAATGATTTAGCTTGCTTTGCCCTCTAGTGGCAGCCTGGACGGCTTCGATGCCAACTCGGTTGCTTTGTCTGTTACACATACATAAAATATTAAGAAATATCCGAGATTAAATAAAAATAAACTGAGCAAAGTGATAGGAAAGGAATTTCCAGAGCTTCCCCAGGATACGACAAATACTATTCCCAAATTACTGCAGGAAGGGAATCGTCATTAACAATTTATGCAGGATTTTTTTCCCCGTGACATCGTAGTTGTGTCAAAAGCACAGCGTGAATTGGGGTGGAAAAATCAGCCCAGATTCTGCCAAGAGCTCCAGTGCTTCTCCGGAGAGCCTGGTGTGCCTGTCGTAGTGGGGCTGCCTGAGGACGCAATGCCCAGCTGGCAGCAGCCCCTTGTCTGCTAAGGCTTACAGGAAAACGCCCTACATTTGGGTCACCTCCCTGAAAAGCAGCAGCGTTGCCACTGAGGGTGCAGAGCTGGGCTTCTGCTGCCTTTTCTCAAAGCACCTGGGCACCTCCTGAAGCTCACAGTGTTGCTTTTTATTTATTTTCTGTTTTCTTCTTAAGGAGAGGGGTAGTTTTCATTGGTACCAACACCTTCAGCAGGTTGACAAAAGCCCCGTGTGGATACTCAAGAGGACAAGTGGCCACTGCTAAGGTGCCAGTGGGCAACCATTCGCCACGGTGGAGGCGCAGGGGCTGCGTGACTGTCGGTCCATGCCCCGGGCACGCCGGTCGCTGTCGTTAGAAGAGTCCTAACAGGGAAATAGGGCAGAAATAAGGGAGCCTGGCGGCGCCTTGCTGCTCGGCGTCACTGCTCTGCTTGGCCATGCGTGCGCGGCAGCTTCCTGACTTCGCACTGCCAACACAGAGCCTCCCGCTGGTGCGCGCTGCGCCTCCGGTTCCCCTTCACCCGGTTCCACTCCCTCGTGTCACGGGTTTATCGCCGGTTCCACCCCGCTGACACCAATTCCCCGGTATTTCACCGCATGCACTTGGGGCTGCGAGCAGGGCACTCACAGCCCTGCAGATACTCCAGGCAGCCGGGGCAGCCCCGCCGTTCCCTGCTCGTTTTATTTCGGTGCCCTTGGGCCGCGCCCGGTGCCGGTGCGGGGAGGACCAGGACCGGCCCCGGAGGCGCCCTCCCCGCCCCCACCCACGTGGCGCAGTCCCGCGCCTTTGGGGGCGGTCCTCCTGCTCTCCGCCAATCAGAGCGCCCGTTGCCCTTCGCGCGGGCCAATCAGCGCCCGCGGAACGCGCGTTTAAACGCCGTTCCCGGGAGCTTGCCCCGGCTCCGCTTGACACGGAGAGGGTGGGGCTGTGCCACGACACCCAATCAGAGGGCGCGGCAGCGCTTACCGACAGCGCTCTGAACCAATGGGAAGGCGGCGCAGGGCGCGGCGTCTCCCCGCGGAGCAGTTGGCGGCGGCGGGGGAGCTCCCGGGGAGGGCGGCGGCGGAGCCCGGCCGCGGGGGGCTGCTGAGCACCGGGCCCGGCCGCGCCGCCGCCGCCATGGCGAAAGGTGCCGAGGCTCAGAGAGGGGAGGCAGTGGGGCCGGGGGTAGCGGCGGGGTCTCCGAGGCGCGGGGCAAGGCGGCGCTCGGGGCTCCCGGCGGCTGTGGGGCGGCCGGGGCGCGGAGGCTCCTCCCGGGAGGTGCCGGCGGGACTCCTCCCCCGCGCGGTGTGCGCAGCTCGCCGGGAAGGGGCTGGGCCGCCGCGGCTCGGCCTGCCGGGAGCAGCGAGCCCTTTAAACATGGCGCAGGCCGCGGCGGGCGGGCGATGACGGCGGCCCAGAGGCAGCGCCGGCCATGGCTCAGCCGCCGCTCTTCTCCTCTCGCTCCTAGGGAAGAACATGCCCAAGGCCAGGGCGGGCGGCGCGGAGGAGGCGAGCCCCGAGAACGCCGAGAGGAAGGGCCCCGGCCGCCCCCGGGCCGGTGGGGTAAGCGCTGCTCGGGCCCCGAGCGGGGCGGGAGGCTCCTAGGGGCCTGCCGTGATACCCGGTTACCCTAACGGGTGCAGTAGTGGCTGTGCGGAGCCTCGGCTGCCCGGGAACCGGGCCTGTGGGGTTCCTGGGGTGGGTCAGGAATGGGGGCAGTGTGAGGGGAGTTGGGCTGCGGCCGTGTCCCTCTGTGCCCTGCTGCCAGCTGTCCTGAGAGCGCCGGGTGCTGCTGTCAGCCAGCCGGCAGGCCCCAGGGTGGGCGATATTCGTGACATTTCCAGTGCCCTGTGGTCGTTCTAGAGGCATCTAGCTAGAGGTTGGTAATCCCTTTGCATTTAAGTCTCCGTGGAAATAACAGTGGGTATTGTATCAAAACCCCAGCCTCCCTCAGCAGCTCTTAATGTGCTCTGCTGTGCTGAGAAAATGTTTGCTTTAGGTCTGAAGCCTGGCACAGACAAAGACGTGGCAGCCGTGCCTCTGTAGCTGACAGCGCAGCAGGAGGGGAATTGGGAACTGGGGAGGAGGCTGCACTGAAAAAGTGGCTGTTTGGTGCCTGTTAACAGCGAGCTCAAAGCCAGGAGGCTTCTTTGGCAGGTGAACTGCTGCAGTTGGCTGCTTTTGGCTTTCTCTGGAAATGCCCATATTTCAGGTTCTCACTAAACTCAAAGATTTTCTCAGTGCAGGGTTCACTGCTTGCATTTGTTAAAATGCAGTGCTTTTGTAGCACTTAATCCTTACAGTCAAATGGACTTCCTCCTTCTCAGGTTGTTCTGCTGCAAGCTTAATTCTTACTGAAATTTATTTATGCTGTAAGATTTGAGCCTTTAACTGGTTTTATTTTGAGTATGAATTATGTATGCACTGAGTATGTTACTCATGTCTTAATAACTATTAAAATTATCGTTGGTATTCTATTGCATGCTTTGTTTACTTTACTAGTTTTATGGGACAGCATACACCGGACCATTAGTTTAGTCAAGTGGCATCTTTGAGCTATTTTGTTTTTTAACCAGTGAGAACCTTTGTATGCTTAAAAAGGAGGCATTTTTTTGTTGTTTCATCTGGGTTGCGGTGCCTGTAAGTGCTTTTAGTTGAGTCGAAATATGCCAAGGCAAGCTTGCTCTAGCCAAGCTGCCTCTGTTTGCCCAGACACTGAGGCTCACAGTCACAATCCGTGTGCACTCTGCACACAGTGCAGTCAGGCCTGGCCAGGTGGCAGAGACCACAAAAGCAAAGGCAGCCCAGCTCCACGGAACTGCTAGGTCTGTGCTCCTCACGGCTGATGTTCTCCGAGCCTGAGCCCACACACAAACCCTGGTCTTTGTGGCGTTTAACCACATCAGAGCCTTCACCATTACCCTCCTGGGACCACGTGTTTTGCCCTTATGTGTTTTTTTATGCCGTGAACAACATCTACACTTTTTTATCTTTATCCGTTATAACACAAAAGATAGCATTGTTTATCTCCCAGACCTTACTGAGAGATGTCACTCAAAGTAGGCTGTCCAAAACTGATTCCTGTCCACAGTGTTGCTCAGTAGAGCATATAGTTAATGGCAGTGATATATGACGCTTTACAAGAGTGTTTGGGCAAGCTCCTACCTCTCTGACTGTGAGAGATATGTTTGAGGCTTGTGCAGTTCTTGCTGTGTTATTTGTACTTCTCTTGGCTTGCCCTCTGAATAGCTTGGTTATTTTTTTAGTACCAGAGTTCACATTCTGAAGCACAGGACGGAAATTGTAGTTATGAATATCCCATCCTACCACATTTCATGTGAGTCTCTTCTTGAACTGAAAGTTTGCATTAGTAAAGTTCTCCAAGCGCTTACCACAGTTATGTTTTCATGTAGTAGAAATAGCAACGGTAGCAAACATGAGGCATTACGGCAATATAATTTACGTTTGCCCAGTCAGCTGTCAGCCTTGTTTTTGCAGCGCATTATGGATACCAGCTGGAGGTTCCTGGCACGTCTGTAATGTACTGATTTTTGTGTGGCTCTGTTTTAGGAGAATGTGTTTATTGGTCAATCCAAAATCTGCAGCTACCTGAATCCTAGCAAAACTCCTGGTGCTCGCCCCCCACTTCAAGAAGAAAACTCGGTCATGTATCACGAGGTGAAATGTCAGGGCAAAACACTAAGTGAAACCAACAGAAAAGGAGATGGTAAGCTTGATATTTGGATTATTGGCTTTACAAGACATTCTTTCCTCCTCCCCCCCTAGTTTCAGAACTTCAGGAGGCCAGGCAGCTCTCCTGCCCTGGTCGCTTTCCCAGTCCTACAGCTCTTATCAGCAAACAGAGACTCTATGGGGGTGATGGTGTCCTTATCCTTTTCAAAGCCTAGGTCCTGGATTTACGGGGTATTGATGGAAAAACAGATCAGCTGGTTTCTGTTTAAAGGTGTGGTTGTTAACTGTGGTAATCTGTCAAAATGTTCTGATGCGAACACTTGTAGCAAGTAGGTGTTTTAAGCCCCATTTAGCACAGGGAGTCCTGAGGTTTTCTGGGAACTGAGAGCTTTAGCTCCCAAGTTTTAACAAGAAGGTGAAGATGGCTTTAGCCTGTTCTGCAGAGGAGCTGTGGCCTTTCAGCTGTACTTAATTTCTCTACTGAGATCGAAGCATCTGTTTTGTCATGTGGGGCTTCAATCTGGTAATTTGCCTTATATAAAAACTTTATTCAGTCTTAAGGCATGCTTATTTACCTCTAAATCAGTGAGCTGAGCAGGAGGATGTGGTCAGCTCAAGGTATGATGCACTCAGCAAAGAAAATGGAATGGGCGTGGATTAGGCTCTTTCTTGGAAGCGTCTGACCTTTGGATTCCTGAGTGGTATTGACTGCTTTGTACCAGCCTGCGAGGCTATTGATCACAGCAGTGCAGGATCCAGAGACTTGCACTCCTTCAGTGCAGGGTGCTGATTCATCAGCAGCAACTTGATAGCTTAGAATGCCAAAGGCACTGACTGGCTAACTGAGCACTTGGCTCAAATACCGCGCTGAAGGTGCTATGGGTTCAGGTCAGGTTTGCTGCTCAGTTTTCCAATCATGACAAGGTACTCAGGCTCTGTTTTACCCTTTCTCTTTCTCTGTTCATGCCTCCTTCTGTACTGCATGTAGTGTAGCAATGACTACTCAAGAGTCTGGTAAGTGTCTGGGTTCTAGCACAAAGAGATTGTATCATTCATTCCCTTCCTCTTTCTCCTGTTTGACAGAACTAGAAACTTGGACTAGAAACCATTGGAATTCATTTAAAAGCACTCTGGTATAGATGATCTTGAGTTCAGAGCCTTACTTTATTTTCCTGTCACCAGAAAAAAAGAATGGTAGCAATATAATTGAAGGTGCTATGAAACCAGACGACCAGAAAGATAAAGAAAGTGGGTGCAATACTCCGGTACCCTCTTCTGATCAAAACCAAGAAACTGCAGAAACTGAGAAGACGCCCCTGCCTTCCGATGGTGCTGATGAGGCCAATGCAAAGCCAGCTCAGAAAAAGATGGTTAAAACAAAACGCGGACCAAGGAGAAAGTAAGTGGCTTCTGAATTGTAAAAGCTCTTCTGCTTTATGTCCTTTTGTACTGGGAGGCTTGATCTACATCTTATGCTCAGGGGAGATATAGTCAGACTTGTCATTAATGTTTCTCTTGTTTGTTTAAGCAAATGGCTATGTTGGAGGGAATAAATTTTAAAGATGACTTTTCCTCAAGAATAGCATGTTTGAAAATATAAAATAGCACTCAAAGTACACATCTTCTTGCAGATGACCTTTTCCTGCAAGCAGGGCTTGTGTATTTTAACTCAAGTGAAATAGTTTCTGATCACCTCTAGAAAATGAAATTAATGAACTATTAAGACCTACTTTTCTGTGGACAAATGGGAGTGTATCTTGCCAGAAACAGTATATTGGATTAATTGCAGATGGTGGCTTTCTGGCTGAGCTGGAACCCTTCCTCAGTGTTATTGCAGTAACGTAACCTAATATTAATGAATTCTTTGCCAAACAGGTTATTACCTAAATTTTAGAGAGCCTTCTGGAAAGGACAATAAGGTTTCAGAGTTGTTTCAGTTGATTTCCAGCGGTATCTCATTCCTGTGGATAAAGGACTAGTAGAGGATGTTACTTGTGGCTTGGGAGGAAAAGCAGTGATGAGAAACATTGATTCATCCTGACCAACTTTCAAAATACCAAGCTGAAAGCAAAAACTTTTTTACAGATACTTGTTCTAGAGGTGTAACTGTAACTTCAGAAATAGTCTGATATGTGTGATCCTTATTTTTCTTATTCCTTAGAACGCAAGGAAGAACCCCAAATCGAAAAGTGACAGATTATTACCCAGTTAGAAGAAGTTCCAGGAAGAGCAAATCTGAATTAGAGGTAGTGCTTCTTGTTAAAATCATATTGCTTATAATGTTGCCATTTAATTGAGCGTTTGAGAAAGCACATAACTATCTGTAAATGTTTCCACTATGTGGAAATGTTAATGCTAATGTTAGCCAGTTCACTGGAAGTATTGTTAAGAACACTTCTAAAGTACAGAAATGTTGATCCATTTATTTTAACATAAAATCTAGATAATACATCTTTGGGGTGGGAGGGTAGAAGTCTCTCTCCAATTTTAGGAGGATGGGATGGTTTGGAAAAATGAGTGTCACTGGCTAATTGTTTACTCTTAGCTCTGGTACAAACTACAAAATCTGAAAGAATAATGTGGTCACGTGTTTTGTCTTGTTTCTTCCCCAGACTGAGGAAAGGAGGAAAATAGATGAACTAATTACAAGTGGGAAAGAGGAAGGAATGAAGGTAATTGCAGTGTCAACCCGAGTAGCTGGGCAGTCTGTTGCTCTTAATCTGTTTAAAGAGAAAGTTGCAGAACTCAGAACTGTTCCAGTTCTTTGGTAAAAAAAGATGAAAGTGGAGCACATTGTCTACCCCTTTTGAATGGGTAATACTCGACCCTGGAGAACATATTCTTCCAAAAATGGGGTTAGATATATCCTCTTAACTGTAATATGTACAAAAGGTAATACCCATATACCCACTGAATAGTAACAAATGCTCTTATCCTGTGTACAGCTAGTTGCTGTGGGTTCTTCACTGAAGCTAATTGATTCTACTGGTTCTCTTCCCAGTTGCAGCAAATGTTAGTTATTGGCACCAGCTGCTTACTGTTTGGGTTACTCTGACCACCCCTTCTAGAGTTTAAAGCAGAAGTAGCTCCTGGAAGTGCAAGAGAGCTGTGAACCCTCCACCCCCCCCCCCAAAAAAAAAAGAAAAAGTAGACTGCAGTTAACACTGGATCTTCTAGGATGGTGATTGGAGAACTTTCTTGGAGTGGGAGAGTTGCCCAGGTTAGGCTGGGGGCAGAATAATAAAATACACTAGTGAGTGACAAATGTGACTTCTGTGATTGATCTTTCTGTACCTCTGATATTTGTTCCTGTGCCTGCTGATGGTGCCCTTGAAATGGAAAAGCTTAGTCCCTCAGTAGGTAGTTTAAAAGGAAAAACGGATAACTTCTGTGTATGTAATTTATTTAAAGTAATTCTTAGTTCCTTTTTATCAAAATCCATGGTAACTTGTAGGTTGCATCTTGAACTCATCCTGATTCTTCCATGATATCATGCATTGTGCTTCCCCAGCTCTGTCTGCAACACATTAAAAACTGCTACAGCATGGTGTTTGTGACAAATGTGACGCACGCTCATTTCCTAGTAAATGGCATATTTGCAGTCAATGTAAATACTTTGTAATTTCCCAGCTGATTTTCTTTTCAACTCAACAGATTGATTACATTGATGGCAAAGGGAGAGGCGTAATTGCTACTAAACATTTTAATCGAGGAGAATTTGTAGTGGAATATCATGGGGATCTCATAGAGATCACTGATGCTAAAAAGCGGGAAGCCGTGTATGCTCAAGATCCATCCACAGGCTGCTATATGTACTATTTTCAGTACCTCAGCAAAACATACTGGTAAGCTTCTTTGGACTTAAGTGTAGTAGTTGAGCAGTAGAAACTTTGAATGCTGTTTTTTGTTGTTGTGTATTCATACAATTTTTACTGGGAGCCATGAATTAGGGAATTTTCTTGGAGCACTTTCACAGTCCAAGGGCCTCCTGTACCTCAAAGCTAAAAGGAGTGGCAGATGACTCAAAGCCGCCTTCTCTGAAGCACAGCACAAGCTATGTGGAAAGCTGTATCCGCTTGGATGAGGCTTACAGCTTTGCCACGGATTTCTGCCTCAACTCACTGTTCTGTAAAATTCTCCTGAGTTGTAATGACTTCTTTGAAAAGCAGTACGGACAGACCCTGTAAGAGAAACACCTCTTCGGCCATACTTGACTGGGTCTTTCTTTCTCTAGTACCTGGCAACAATCTCATGTGCGTGCTTTATCACTCTGCTGTTTTATTTGCCCCAAACTCCAATTCTTCTAAAGGAAATGCTCTTCCTTCTTTCTTCCTTGGCCGATGCTACTATAAACTGGAGTATGGGTTAGTTAACCTGTCTCTTAATTACCTTGAAGAGCTCTGTATTCTGAGTATCTGCCTTGCAGTCTAGATGTCATAGCAATAGCTGCCGTTGCAATTCTTAGAGCACTGAGGCACTAGAGCTTTAAGATGTGTGTCTCTGGAAGCTGGACACGTAGCCTTTGGGCATTATCTTCTCTGAGTAGAGGCTTTTTCATTTTTCACTTGCTTACTCTGTGGAGACCATTTAGGTTTGACACAGTTTTCTTGAGGGAGATTTTGTGAAGGTATAAAGGCTTTCTGGTGTTGTCCTTCATTTGGGTTGTGCTATTCCTTGGGAACAATTGAGAGCTGCTTAGAAACAGGCAACTTGAGAACATAGTCTGAAGCGTTCATTTCTCTGGTAACTTACAAGTCTTCCAGAATTACTTTGGTTAACCTACATAGTTCTTACATACTGTTTAAACATATGAATATTCCGTGATGATCTTTTTCCTTCTTTTTTGAACCTTGTGTGAATTCCTAAGTCTTTCTGTCTTGCACTTCGGTTTTTGTCCCCTGACATGACTTGTGCATGACATGGAGCAATCCTGCACTCTGTTCTTGTTCTTTCAGTGTTGATGCTACAAAAGAAACTAATCGTCTGGGAAGACTGATTAATCACAGCAAATGTGGCAATTGTCAAACAAAGCTCCATGACATTGATGGTGTGCCTCATCTCATACTGATAGCTTCCAGAGACATTAAAGCAGGTGAAGAACTGTTGTACGACTATGGAGACAGAAGCAAAGCTTCCATTGCAGCACATCCATGGCTGAAACACTAACTCTTCATCTTTGGGTGTGATTTTGTGTGTGGATTTCTATTTTTTTTGACTGAGCACGCTCTACAAGGAGTCAGTGGATTTTTATTTTATTTTCTCCTGCCCTCATTTCCCTCAGCTTTCTTAGTGGACTGCTTATGGTGTTCTGAGCTCCTTGAAAACTACCTTTTTGCTTCGCAGTTTTTAAATTCCTGTTCCAGATCTCCAGGCAGGCTTGAGTAATTGACATTAGATTGCCAAAACTTTTATATTGTAAACGGAAACCCTCCCTAAAAACTGAACACTTTTTCATAGTGACCAGTGCCACCTGAGCATGTGAAGACTTGCACAGATTGAAACGTAATCGTTTGGGTTGTGCTTCTACTTTTGCAATGAAATCTCATGCTCCGTTTTGTGGGGTGATGAACTTGGCATTAGCTTTATGACAGCAGATGTACTTTTGAATGCTGACTCTTGCATCCAATGGCTTGTCTACTTGTCAGACTTGTTTACATCCCAGTGCTGACAGGATTTTTTTTGAGATGGATGCTATTGTTTCTGTCATTCTCAAATCTGTGTTAGGGATCTAAGTCTCTTCCAGTGCGGTGTCTCTGGCAATGAAGTTTAAATGCACTTGTGCTGAGGGAAATGGATGGTCAAATTGGCTGCTTTCATCAGAGAAATGACTCCAAGCCAAATGTGGATGGATTTTGATAGACTGGGTTGATAATGATTACAAATGTGGAGCTGTAACTTCACAGTGAGAATCAATGCTTGACATTACTTATTTTCTAAATTTGAGATGGTACCTTTTTATAGTTGACGGCTGATTCTTGGAGGTGTCTCCTAGAGGGTTTTAAAGAAGCAAAAGAAGCTCTCTCCAAAAATTTTTTATTGCCTTTCTATGCTAACTAGCCACATCAGAAGCTATTTATTTACTGTGAATGCTTGAAATAGAGCATAGTGGTTCCAAAAATAGGAGTCATCTTCATATGCAGCTTCAAACTGTAATGATGGAGTTCATGCAATGAAGAAAGTAGATTCCTTATTGCCTGGTCCTGTAGGTCTGTCCAGCACGGTCTGGTCCCACTGTCTTAAATGGGAGCTGAGCGTTTGGCATCTTACAGATGTTTGTAACACGACTGTTGGAGAACCAAATGGGTGGTATAGGCGGGCAATATACAATGCAGGTCCTTTATGTTAAAGATTAATTCTTACCGGTTGGAATTTTTGCCAAGGCAGGCTTGGCATGTGTGTAGATGAAGATGGCTGTGAGCCATCAGCCACGCTTGCTGCTGGAAGATGTCGGCAAGGGGTCTGTGGCTCTGTTAATGTCTTCTATTCCTCAAGTCTTGAAGGCTGCAGCTGCTCCAGCTAATGCCCTCTAGGACAATCTTACATGCTTGCCTATGTGATAGGTTAGACAGCAACAACATCGTGGTTGTATGCTCCAGCAGCAAGAGAGGTGGCTTAGTGATGTATTTTTTAAATTAAAAACTTGAAGACAATGTCTCTGTAAAATAAAGAATATATTTATTATTGATGAAGTGGCTGCTATAGTACCTGTCTCCATTGCAGATCGTTAGCATTTTGAAGGAAAGCTGTGAAAATCATTAGCCATTAAATGCTTAATGTTATTTACCATTTAACACTAGGCAAGCTCAGCAGAGAAAGCCTTTGTATTTTCACAATTTCTGAAGGATTAACTGGAGACCTGTTACCTTACATGTACTGAGTTACAAGTAAGCTTCTTTGGCTGACTTGTTCTAGTTGGCAGTGATTTCTCTCTGGTCTCAGTAACAGAGACGCTACAGCAGTGTACAGTACCCTGTTCTAGTAGAGTGCTTCCCTGAAGTCAAAATTGGAATCAAATGCTTCTTTATTTGTTCTTTATTTAAACATTTGCTTGTTCTTATATCAGGTTAAATAGCTTAAAACCTCTGTTCTTCAGCATCACTTCCGTAAATGAGAAAGGGAGAATCTCCCTGTTTTACATAAAAAGGAAAATGTCTTCTCTGAAATGCTTAACTGGTAATCAAGTAGCACTGCATCGGAAGATGGTAATAAAGCTGATATTGCACTGAGAATGTATCTTTTACTTTTCTAGGAGCTATATATACAAGTGTATGTATATATGTGTGCATATATATGTTTGTGTGTATATATTTCAAAATAATTTTCACAAGAACACACAGTTCTGATTTCATCCTTGTGCCTTATAGGAAGGATTCGCCTTCTAAATAAGGTTTAAAGCACTTAGCAGGGAAAGATGTCCTTGGGTTGGGAGTTAAACGTCTCTCATAAGGCTTGTTCCTCTTTACTGGAGGCAGCAAGGTTGTTTTAGCAGGGCTTTAACCTGCCCTAGCCAAGGAATTTGCTTCCATTCTGAGAGAAGTTGGGCGGTTCACTTGATACCAGACTGGATGGATGCAGCTGTGATGGTGCCGGAAAAGAATAGCCCCAAACAGGTTGGGGTGCTCTTCTGTCCCCTCTAACTGGTGAGCCCCTGCTTCTAGTTTTCAATAAAGAACATCTTCAGTGGCAACTTGAATAATTGCTGCTTTCATTGTCTCCTTCAACTAACAGTAAAGAAAGGCTATGTTACAGTCTTCTGTACCTCCTTGGCAAGCTGCTACTTTTACACTCATCTGTTTAATTTCTGTACTTAATGAAACAACTTCAGATAAAGATTTGATAGTATAATTACTGTGGGTTTGCCCCCATACCCACCCACCTCCTAAGGATCCTGGAAAATACATCTTTGGATGAATCACCCAGGAATTTGCATTTCAGAACATATTTACATCTTTCCAGGTCAGATATGTATCCTGGCTGTTGCCAAGGCCTTACAGTTGTTTTGTTTTTTTGTTTTGTTTTTTGTTTTCCTTTACCTATAAACCCTTGAAAGAAGATACAGCAACTTCTTCCCTGCTACCGTGCTCTAGAAAATCTCAGACATAGGAGAAAGGCTTATCAGCATTTTGAAGATGACAAAGTTATTTCATAATTTCAATGCACTGGCTGTGTTAACTGTAAACTAACCTACCTCAGTCAACCGTCTTTGTTACCTTGCGAATTAATGTACAGTTGCCAATAAATTCTGAGCCTGCAGTCCTGCCTTCTGCGGAGCCACGTTTGCATTGTGTGTCTGAGCAGATATGCAAGCTGCCCTACATTTTTCATGCTGCTAGCATACGAGAGGGAATCAAAGGACTTCAGAACCTGCTTTTATTTCTGAAGAGTTTAAGATCATAGTTGGGTTCCTGTCACTTCTCTTTTTATGTCTGTTCAGAGACTACTGCTCTTGAAATTCTGCTTTTTCTAAATGTGGAATCTAATTGGTATTTTTCAAGCTTTTTTCTACTCCTCTGTTTGCCCTATATCGTTCTGCTAGTGATAAGTGTCATTACTTAGGCTAATACACAGCTCGTATCAGCTAACTGCAAACTTGAGCTTATGAAAAAAACACAACTGTCTGCCACATAAGGCCCTCAGCTGTCAACTGAAATGTCTGGTGCATCTGTTCCAGTTTGAGTTTGTCTGTGCCTCTGAAATGTTACCAGTCCTTGATGTGTGCGAAGCACAATGTGGCAGCTTTTCCCTTGCTGTGCTGTTCTCTGTCTTTAATCTTAACCCTAAAGGGTCGCTCCTGCGTGTGCCCCTCTAATGCAAAGAAGGGCAGAACAAAAGCAACAGGGGACTTTTCTTCAAGCAGTTTAGGAATTGCTTTCCATATAACATCAGTGAGAAGTACAATTGGAATGGGTGCTTCTTGCCCAGCACTTTGCTATGAAGATGTGGGAATGGCATATATCCTTTATAAATAAAATCTAAATCTCATAAAATCATTTTGGGCTGAGCATTTTGATAGGCAGACCAGATAAATCTGTGGCCACAGGCTCTTTTAATAAGAATAAAAAAAAACCACTCATATAAACGTTTATTCTTTCCAGATGGGTAATGTCTGGCAGGAATCCAACAATGCAAAAAGTGTCAGTTTCTAAAAAATTAAGGTAAAATCTTCTGTGAAAAAATATACAACAGAATTCTTAGGAGATTGCTTATTCTTTACAGTAAGAGTGATGTTTTATTTTCCAATCCTTGACTCCGAACTCCTTCAGAGGCTTTGAGCAGTGCCATTTCTGAACGTAAGTGGTTGAAAGTTCTCAGGGATGTTCATTTTCCATGTTTAAAAGAGAACCTGCAAAACAAAAATGTACAAATGGAAAAGCAGGATCATACAGTGCGACTGCTGTGTCCTGCTATTTTGGGGGACTTTTAAGGACAAGGCTTGAGCATGTGGGTACTGCATACAGCTGTGTACATACAATGTAAACAAACCTCCAGGGACAGCTGGCATGACCTTTCACATGCTAACAGGGCCCAACTCACATACATTTGTTCTGAAATGCTGATTCTTTATAGAAAAAAGTGATACCCTGCTTGCCAGGGTGGAGCTTGCTTTCCTGTAAAGTACTTTTTCCACAGGAAAGGATTTCCCTATCAAGTTTTAATTTTATAGAGAGGAGAGAAACAATGTCCAGCTAACTAGGCCAAAGTTCAGATTTCATCCCTGGATTCACTAAATGTGAGGCATGTCCTTGTCCCATGTTCTGCCAAAAAAGGTGAAAAAAACAAACAAAAACCAACACAAACTTACAGACGCTTGGTGATTTTCTTCTCTTCTTTGTCCTTGCTGGTTCTTGGGCTGCTGCCATGGGATTTTTTTTCCACTTCTTGAGTTTGGTCCTTTGTCTGTGAGATGATCCCACTGGCAAGAGAAGTGGATTTTTTTTTTTTTTTGTGGTTTTGTGCCTAGCATGGTATAGCATTGCTGTCCGCATTTAGTCCTTCAGTGGGCAGCCTGGGACATGGGTGAGGGGGTGTTCCCAGGACAGGCGCGGCAGCCTGGCCCACTCCTTTTAATGAATTATTCATATTTTCCTTGAATAACTACTGCATTGTAATTTTGCTTAGGCTATGCTGTGATGAGGACACTAAAAAAAAGTAATGAGCTGACTTTTCAATGAAGGAAAAATGGCAAACCATAACACGAGTGAAAGGGAAGTGTAGTTACATACTGGATTTGTATGAGTCCAAAGACAAAAACAAGATGCAGACACAAATAGTGATGTTCTGCTTGGATGGATCCATTGTACCTTCAGCACAGCCATGGAGGCTCAGGCCACACAACTGGGAACAGAAGGGAGATTCCCAGCTTTTCCTGCAAGGCAGGTGAGTGTTCCTCTTTCCATCCTATAGAGCAGAAAAGACAGGCTTTGCCTGAGCTGTAGATTTTGTCAGGCTGCTTTCGTGCTGTTATACTGTACAAGGTTGTAATCACACATTCTTCAGCTTCACCAGCTTCTCCTGCTTGCAATCAGGCTAAATTTTTACCAATTGCATATTACATTGTATTTTTGCAGCATGCTAACTTACTACTCTGAGCTGACCTCTCTTATCTCAAGAACTGAGTGGATCAAAGTTTGTTACTGCAGTAGCTGAAGGCTGAAAGTAGCTAAGCAGCACTGCTTTTTGGCCATCGAAAACACATACACAAGACATTTTAGAATACATGTTCAGATTTATCCTCTTCCCCTGCAGTTTTATGTGAACGCTTAAAGGGAAGGTGGTTTTTGACTCAACCTGTAACACTGCATGAAGAGAAAACCACATAGCACTACTTGAACCGAAAAGTAGCCTTGATGCATTTTCTAGGTACAAAGCACTGTGACATTCACTCAAATATGTAAAACATTCATACCGTTAATTTTTAACTTGCCATGTAGAAAGCTGTATAACACAGCTGGGAAATCAAAGGCAAGAAGCTATTCCAATGGTTGCACTGCAAAGGTAGTCAGCTGGGACGGGGAAGTTGGTGCCTCACTGTTATGTGAGAACTGCTGCTGTGCAGACAGTTTGTAAACTGACTTTTTGGATTTAACTTTAACTTCTTGACTTAACTTGACTCTTACAGACAAGGCAAAGGGCGGGCTTAGCAAGAGGTTGTTGCTGAGATAACTCAACTGAAATCTTATGTGCTCAGACATCTAGTGTCTAGATTAAGAAGTAATTTCTTGCCCCAAAGAGCTTATAGTACAGCCAGATGATGAGGGGCATGGGTGGGTGGGGAGAACAGCCTTGTAGGTGAAGCAATTTGTAGCACCAAGAGAAAGACCCTTCCTACATCCCATCCGTTGGAGCGCACTGATTCTCCTAGGCTGTTCCCTTCTAGAAAGGCAGAGATCCTTCTCTGAAAGAACCTGTTTTGCATCATTTAAGTGTCTTACACAAATCCCTATTGGTACTCTTTAAAAATAAAATCTTCTCAATGATAAAGAACTTAACAGTCTGCTGCCTACATTAATGCTACACTCACTCTGGGGACAAAGGAACAGTAGATAAGCTAGCATGCCCCCATCTGTACCCAACAGGCACGTTGGAGGAGGAAGGAAATTTTGACTAAAGTGAGATGGAAATCCCCATGATCTTCTGGTATGTGGCTTTAGACAAGAATAACACATGTGCAACTGCCGTGACTATATAGGTTAATTTGTGCGCGTGAGAATACAGCTTGTGTGTGGAGTTGCAGTAACCGTACGTAGGCTTTCAGTGGGACAACCACCAGAGCAGGCTGCTAACTGCACAGACTAAGAGAGAGTTTAGTTTTAAAACTATATTGCATAGATACTTCATTGTTCCCCCATATTTCTTCGCTCATTTGTAGGCTTTTAGGAGCACAGATGTCTCACACATATTTTGAGAGTGCCCAGCTCAAATTAGATGCTCAAACCTGCAATACTTTGATTTGATAAGCTCCCCAGACAACATTGTTAGTTCTTTGCATGATATATATACCTTTTATAGCACTGTAGCTCCTCTTGCACCACTAGAAGCTGAGCTTTCAGCTGGTTACGCTCCTGCAGCACTTCTCGCAGCTCTTGTAACGTGAACCGAGGGCGGTTTGGATCCGTGAGGTCTATTACCATTTTGTCTGGTCCAAGGTTGAGCTGTAAAATAAAGGGGTGAACGTGATCTTGTAACCTGTCATAAACTGGGCATTCCTAAAGTAAAATCTCAGACTTTTATAAATCCTGGTAACTCTTAGTATCTGTTTTTCACAATCCTGTTTTTTTTTTAAGCAGTTACTGTTTTTCTTATTCTCTGTCTTCCCTAACCAAGTAAGGGGCCTACCTGTGAGGCTCTGACCACATCTAAAACCAGCCTGTTCCAAAGAGTTTGCAATCTCATTTGCCAGGAAGCTGAAAATGAAAGCAAGCTTTTCTGGTGGTGAGAAAGGCTGAGAAACCTATGATCACACCGAAACACTGTAGCGGAGAGACTTCTGTTTTCCTAAGGCCTTTTTCTTAATGTCTTTTTTTTTTTTTTTGTCATGTTCTTCAGCTTTCCTTGTGCAGAGTACCAAAGCTTTATTGTACGATAAACAGCAAAGTGTCTGTATGGGACAGACTGGTGCTGAGAGCTGTACAACTGTGGATCCATGCTCTGAAAACCTGTAGCTGTGTGCCTAAACTGCTGTGAGCTCTACACGTAAACCTACAGCGAGGGATCCCAGCCAGGCATCGTGGCCCCTCCGAGACCCCTTGGGCTGCAACAACAGCCTGCAGACGGTGACAAAGGTACCCTCCAACCCCTCTGGCGTGAGCCTGGTTTTCGTGACAGACATGTGGCAGCTCCCAGGGCCTGTCCCGGGGGCAGGGACCCCCGCAGCTTCCTGGCAGCCCCCGACCCCCTCCGGGGGTCCCGCACCCACCTGCGGGGCGCTGCCCGGGGCTCCCTCTCCCCTCAGCGCCTCCACCTCCATCCTCAGGCGGTCCCGCTCCAGCCTCAGCCTCTCCTCGGCCAGGCTGCCGCCGCTCACCAACGCTTCCAGCATCTCCAGCACCCTGACGATGCTGAACTGCAGCCGGGCCGCGGCGGCTGAAGTCCGGGGACCGGCGCTGAGCTGCAGCAGGTCCCGGCCCACCACCGAGGAGATGTCGTACACGTCCTCAGCCGTTAGCTGGAAGGGGCTCTTCTCCAGCGCGCTCTCCGCGCCGCCGCCTTCATCCTCCTCCTCCTCCTCTTCCTCATCTTCTTCCTCCTCCTCCTGCCGGCCGTGCTGCATGCCCGCCGCTGCCTCCCTTCCCCGGGGCGGGCCGGCCGGGCTTAGCACCCCCCCTTCAGCCGCCCTCCTTCCTCCTCCTCCCCGCGGGGGTTTCCATGGCGGAGCCCGCTCCTCGCCCTGCCCCTTCCCCTCAGCGCTCGCCTCAGCCCGGGGGCGGGCTCGGGGGAGGCGGCCGCTGCTCCTTGCCTCCTCCTCCTCCTCCTCCTCCTCCTCCTCCTCCTCCTCCTCCTCCTCCTCCTCCTCCTCCTCCTCCTCCTCCTCCCGCATGTAGAGCCGCGCCGTGAGGAGAGGTGAGGGGGAAGGGAAAAGGGTTTGGGGCCGGGGGGAGCCCCTCAGGACGGGGGGCGCCAACCCGCAGAGCCCCGGGGCCCTCAGCGCCCGCCCGGCCTCAGGCGGGGCAGCGCCGGCCGCAGGCTCCGGGAGCCGCGAGAGGGCCCCGCCAGGCCCCGGGGCTGGCTTTGGAGGTTTTATTTTTATTTATTTTCTGAGGATTGTTGTGTTTTGGGAAGAGTTTTTCAGCGTAAGGAGGTGACCGGCACCGCCCCGTGAAGGGTTTCGCAGCGTTTTATAGATGTTTGTGCTCACGCGAGCTGCTTGCTGCTGTGGAGGCAGAACGCTGCTGCTGGGCCTCAGCACCTACCTGCAGGAGTGTAGGTAACACTGTGGTGTCCTGCTGAAAAATCAGGATCTAACAACAGTGACACGACCATTTTGTCACACTTTTGGGGTTTCTTGGGTGAAAAATGCTGTATAGCAGTGCCAAAAGTGCTTCTCGCACCACCTGATTTATGTTATAAAACGATCAGCAGTGACCTGCGTGTGTAACGCTTATTTATTTATTTTTTCCACCAGACAATGAATGACTGGGCCCCCATAGCAAAGGAATATGACCCCCTCAAAGCAGGGAGCATCGATGGCACGGACGAAGAGCCCCATGACCGTGCCATATGGAGGGCTATGCTGGCACGTTACGTACCCAACAAGGGAGTTACGGGAGATCCTCACCTCACCCTGTTTGTGGCAAGGCTCAATCTTCAGACAACAGAAGAGAAGTTAAAGGAGGTCTTTTCCCGGTATGGAGACATCAGAAAGATCCGTCTGGTTCGAGACTTGGTCACAGGCTTTTCCAAGGGTTATGCTTTTATTGAGTACAAAGAAGAACGTGCTCTGTTGAAGGCCCACAGAGATGCCAACAGGTTGGTTATTGACCAACATGAGATCTTTGTTGACTTTGAACTGGAGAGAACTCTCAAAGGATGGATTCCTCGGAGGCTTGGAGGTGGGTTTGGAGGCAAAAAAGAATCCGGGCAGCTACGGTTTGGAGGACGGGACAGACCTTTCCGAAAGCCCATCAATTTGCCAAATGTGAAAAATGATTTCTATGGAGAAGGCTCAGCAGAGAAAAGAAACTTTTCTCGAGAGGGAACAAGGGACTGGAGAACAAGGGACCGAGACCATGAAAGGAGCAGAGAAAAGAGATGGCCAGAAAGGGAACGGTCATGGGCTTGGGGTGACAGTGAGAGAGAGAGGGACTCCAAAGATGAGAGGAGCAGAGGAAGAGACAGGAAGGACAGAGATAGGAAAGACAGAGAGAGAGACCGGAGCAGAGAGAGAGATACCAAGAAGCAAAGAGATGAAGATAAGCATCGATAGCTGACAGCACCACGTCTTACAGGAACAATGGGAAGTTTGGGTATGGTGACCATTCTTACCGTTCCCTAGAATATTGTGAGCCAAGTCCTGCTGCCCTTAGTGCTGCCTGGGACCTGCCTCTGCTGTCCTGGTAAATGAACTGGTGTGGAGGAGGTGATGCGGCAGGTTTGGCTCCCTGCAGTCTCTGGATAAAGCTGCTGCACCTTCTGGAGGACACGGACATGATTCAATTGCAGATGTCACCGTCAGCCTGGGGCTGTGAGCTGCGTTCCCTGAACCAGCAGCGGTCGTGTTACTGTCTTGTGCCTATGACTTTGACCTGCTAGCAGCTCTCTGTAGTTTGGTTCCTAGTGCAGTTACAATACCTTTTGTCGAATTGTTCTTCGGAGAAATTAAATTCTTCTATTAATATTTTGAAGTGGTGAATACTGTAAGAAATGCACTACATGTACTGGCACCCCACTGAAATTGAGTACACACCTCATTTGATACTCAGCTTGCTGCTTGGATGAGTGTTCGTGAGAGAGCTCCATATTTAATTCTTTATGTGTCAGATGTTCACACTCATGTTGTGAGACAGGTGCCCTTTATGAAGTCACTTGTGAAGGAATAGAAATGAAACAATAGCAACAAACAAAGCATTTGAAAAATGTGGCCCAAACCAGAAGCTGAAGGGAAGTGACTTTATTTTCTTGAAGACACTGGGACAGGTGAGATCTTAGTAATACTCCATCCTTAACTAGTTCTGTAAGGTATGAGAGGCATGTAATAAGAAATCTATTTTTAACATCATGGGAGGGTGTCATTCCCTTTATTAGAGGAATGCACACCACACAGCAGTAAGCAGGTCAGAAAACATCCCCAGTCATTATGTCAGAGGTCACTTAAGGATGGTGTAATGGCTCGATGCTGTGGTTGCAGCTGCATCCAGCTCTCGTTTCCTCCTCTCTGCAAGTGAAGTCCTGTCTGCTGCAGGGTTTGAATGTTCCAGCAACTGGGCTTGCTGCTGGTTCTAGCTGAATTGGGGAAACCAGAGGGCAAAGCACCCTCTATTTTCTGGCAGGATGTGTGTACAGGATGTGTATCCAGACATGCATCTTCCACTGAGGAGCTTACAGCGTTCCTCAGTGAAATGGAAAGGATCTGTGGTGTTCTTTGCCATCATCAGCAACTCCTAAATATGTGCTAATATATTTTAAATCATATTCTTGGCAGTTTTTGAATGGCCATATCCAAAACCTTGCCCAGTTTGAGGCTGTATTTCCATTTATAAGCCTTTTTCAGGGGAAAGAAGACAGACCTGTACACTGCATCCCCAGAACAGGTAGTAAGTTAGACTTCCACAAAAATAAAAAAGGACACAAGTCTTTCAGAAACGCTTGTTTTTCAGAAATATTTATTAAACCGTTAAAATGATTTACTGCCCAACCAAAACAAAACCAAAAAAAAACTTCAGTGATCCTGCACTTTGGAGACAGGATTGTTACGTCCCATACCTGACAACATCCCGGCCCCTTTTTTAAAAGCAGATTTTAGTTAATATTGAGAAACTACACGACACATCTTCAACTCTTTACATACTCATCCCTACGTGCCATCTTCTCAGATGACACTTGGTGTGTATAAACTCAGCGCTTCTAACGTGAGAAGGAGGAGCGAGGTGGTTAATACTAGCAGGTCAGGAGTGACTCATTAGATTTTTGAGGTAATGGGCTACAGAGATGAACAGGGAAGGTTGTACTGCTTAGTGCCATTGTTTGAAATCAGCTGCAGATTTGACCCAATAGCGCACTGGGCTCTAGCGTATGGGACTAGCTGTACGTGCACTAGGCCAGGAGAGTTTTTAATACATGAGCTTAGATGCTGGGGGAAACAGTTCAGCCTGTGGTTTCCTATTATCCCAGCTCAGTGCTCTTGGCTGATTTGAAAGCAATGTGCTTATTCAGGCTGGGAATCTGCCGCATTCTTGCATTGTTTCTGATCACTGCATCTCTTCTAAACGTGTCAAATGACTGTAAACTATGCTAGGGAGAGAGAGGAATCATTCACAATTTATTTAACTGCCTGATCCAACTGTAGTGTGCTCTTTATTCCTCCGCCCCCGTGCGGAAGTGAAGTCAGGATGTTAGCAACTTAACGTTACAATAAGACTTCCCCCATGTAAGAACTGACTCTCACGGCAGGGTGAAGTGCTGCTCTTTTATGGATACAGCTTTCTGTAAGCATAAAACTCATGATGTGTTACCAAAACGTAACCAGGCAAAATTATCTCTGCCTAATATTAGCATCAGATGCTAGTGTCACTATTTCAAATGGAAATGCCTTCCGTGTAAGGCCACATTTCCCCCTCCTGCCCCAAATGGCAATGATGCCTGGCAGGCACCATAAACACTTTCTCTACCTAGAACCCGCTGAGGGTCTGTGTTCAAACAGAGCAGTTACAGGCGGGAGCAGAGCAGCGTTCAGCCCACCCCAGCAACAAAATGGTTCCCTGGCACAGCTCCCCAAGGAGTGAACCGTTTGCTGCCCTTACACATTTAGGAATCTGGTGGGGGATCATCCTGGACTGAAAACAACTGGCCTGTACTCGACACCGGGCTCTTCACAGAGCAGATGCTGCACTGCCACCAGCAGCCCCTAGCACTAAGCAGCACCTGCACAAGCCTTGCTGTCACTCGAGGAACTCCTCACCAGCAGTGCTCTGCTTCAGCACCGACTCTCCTGGCAGGCAGCGACGTTCACAGGTGACCTCCTCACCACCTCCCTCACAAGGAGGAGCAGCCGGTGGCTGTGTTTGTGCTCTCCCACTGGGCCAGAGCCTGGTGAGGTGCAGAGCCAGGGTGCCACACGCAGCGGTTACACTGCATGGAGCTTTAGTGTTAAGGTTTCTGTAAGCACAACCTCAGGCAGTCCCAAGGGTCTCACGCTTACTTAACTGCAAAGCGGATCTAAAACCAACCTCCTGGCAGTTCATGTGTGGGGTTTTTGGGGGCAAATTAAGGCCCTTGTGATTGCGGGTTACCCAAACATCAATCAACAGCAGCAGAGCAACCTGCATATGCAGAATTCGCCCACTCTGCCACCCAAAATAGTGTTTAGACTAGTCAGAAAAAAGGTTTTGAGTTGGGGTCATCTCTAAGTTAGTTAAAATAGCTCGTGTCAGCTACTTGAGGATGTCTTTTACTCTGAGTTAGGCAGAAAAGTGGAGTGTGACTTAAATCAAAACCTGTCTGTGGGAAGGGGACCTAACTCCTTTACAGCAACTGTGCTACTCTAGGGGGAAGTCCCTGGTAAGAAAAAAAAATAAGTGTTAGAATTCCTCATAGTAAGCAATTTGTTTTCCATTAATACTGCAGAACTCATGGCAAAATGCAAGGCACGCTCACCTCGTACATTGGTTTCTTCATGCTTTAGGCACTATAAGCAGCAAGGGAAATGTATACACTCACTATCCCTCTCAAGGCTACTCCAGTTTATCAATTTGTATCAGGTGAATTTCCAAGTGGTTACTCTGCAAAAGGCAGGTGCCAGCTGAACTTGACAGGACAGAGCAGTGCTAAGACCTGCCATGGAGAGTGGCCAGCTGTGGTGTTTTCCTCTTGAAAAAAAAAATCCTAGCAAATTATGAAAAAGCAAACAACCCAAAATTTTAACAAACAGGGTAACGGAGTCTTTGCCAATAGATATTGTACACTGCAAACAAACTTCTATTAATGGCACAGGTCCTTTTTTTGGTTTAGAGAAGCTCGTGTTACTGTAGTTAATGCGTGAACAAGAACGTAGACTTGTTATTCAGCACGAAACAAGTCATCTAGAAGCTTCAACGTCCCAGGGCATCGATGACTGCAAAGCTTGGACTCTGTTTTCAACAGTCACCAAGTGAACAGTGCGGGATCCCTTTGGAGGAGTACAGCTGAGACACAACCACAGAGGTGTGCAAGGCAAATAAAAACGACGAGCTGCCAGATTTGTTCACAGAAGCTTCTTGTTACTAGACTGTCGAGATCTACTGCAGGAAGCTGATCACCTCAGGGTTTTAGTCACAGGTGCTGCAGGGCTTCTTGTCCTTGTTCGGTGTAGGTGTCATCTCTATTTGAATTTGACCATTCGCCAAAAGTATCCTGGAAGTGGACATTTTTCTGGGATGCCTGCATGCGTCTCTTATCACGAGAGAAGAAACTAAACCTTCCGGTTAGGAAGGAGGAGGAAGGGAGGGGAGGGAAAAGAAAGAAGACTGTTTACCGTCTTGGAAACACTTCAAACCCCCGACACGACACACAGCACAAAAAAACACAGAGCAAAAAACTCCATTTGCATCTGCAAAAACTAAGGCAGTGAAGCCTGATGGGAGTGCATGTCAAAATGTTATTAGAGATGAAGTCATTGCAATCTCAAGCAGCTTTGCTATGGAAGCTTCACATAAGCTCTAAATGCTGTTGACTCTGCGAGGTGCAGTTATTGTTTTAGGTGTATAACCCGCCCCTTCCCCAGCCTTGAAATACAAAAGCAACAAAATACAACACGTTAGTTTCTCAGCATAAGTAAAGTGGTATCTTTAGCATTAAATCTGTATAATTTACCATGAAGCAGAAATAAATAATATTTTTAGGGGTGCCAGCAGGGAAATTCATAAGATAAAAGAAATAAGCCTCCACCATTTTTTTCCAAGTGAACAGATTTTGATACATACGCTAGGTTCCTGCAAAAATAATTGAACAAATGCACATGGGCTCACAAGAGTTTGCAGGATGAAGGCTCTAAACAAATGCACACAAGTGTGCACGTCATTTCCTGTCACACAGCTTGGGTGCTCTAAGATAATGACGTACGTGAACCAACAGCCATTTAATACAACAACATATTGCCAGCTGACAACACAGCTAAAAAATAGTCGGAAAAGCGCTTAGTGTCATTCTCATTTGTATAGCAGTGAGGTTACTTGATTAAGCAAACTCAATATTCGTAACGAGTTCAGTACAAGAGGTGTTAGTGCAGTGTTTAAGTCTGCTGAGAAATGCAAAAGTTTTGGTTCCAGCTGCCGAGGGTTCGATTTGGCTGCTTGCCCTCTGGGCTTTACTCATGCACTTCAGGGGGAAGCACTGTTGTGCTTGCACAGGACCACGCACAACACGGTGCTGATCCAGGATAGGACTTGCTAAATGCTTCTACAGTAAGAGTTTACACAAATATAAATGCAGCTCTTACAGCAGATGGACTGTTTGCCAGGGCATAAACCTGGCCCTGTGTCTACACCCCACTGTCATCACTGTTCTTCCTCTGCCCGCGCTCCCTTCAGCCTCCCCTCAGTACCACGATCCCAACCATCCCAGCTGTCTCGTGCAAAACAGGGCGTTCTGCCTCTGATGTCACATAGGAGGCTGAATTTGAGTGTCAGGTGAGGCTTAAGGCAGCTTTCCCACAAAAACATCCTATGATATGTGCAGGTAAGGACACCGATGATTATTAATAAGCTGTTCTTGACTAGAAAGTGATATAAAAGGCTACCCAAGTGCACTGCAAAGTAACGGATGTTGCTAGCAGGACCTGAACTTTTGCATTTCCTGGCTTCAAATTACAGCCTTAACAGTGAAATAAGTCTTTTGCACTTAATTAGTCTGATAGTTTTCTCCCACTTTCATCACAGGAGCTCAAATTCACACATATATGCTCTATCTTTTCAGGGCCAGGTCCAATTCCAGCTGACACGTGACAGTGTGCATTCACTAGGGCTTTCTGCTGGGCACCTTCAGTCCTGCGTGGTCAGGTTGAGCACCCTGAAGTCCACGCAGAGGACTGCTCTATTTATGCAGTAAGTTTCAAATGTCAGCCTTCAGTAATTTTTCACTTTCTATCATGAAATAAGTAAGAGAAAAATGTTTTTGTAAAATCTCTACACCAAGCAGAAGGATTAGGGGGGTTTATTCCTTCTGAAACAATGAAAATGGTTCTTAGAACTTGAAAATGTTTATGGAGGATGTTTCAAAAAAGCATATCTGTGGAGAGGAAGGGAATTGTGTATACTGTGTTGCTGCTGTAGATGTAAAGACCTCCAAAGCAGCAGTTCTAATGCAAAAAGAGTTTGCTTTAACAATTATCAGCAAGTACCTCCTCCAGGGACAGCCAAGAATAGGGTGACAGAATTGATTATTGAGTGTATACTCTATTCCAAAATACATAATTAGAGACAAAATCTACAGTGCATAGAGAGAAAGAAAACATGGAAGCAACAACCTATCATTAAAACTGGAAATTACTGTAGATATCAGCCGTTACATTCTGCAAATCTAACTCATTTGTAACAAGTCATTAGAATGACATTTTTATTTAAAAGCATTCGTGTGAATTATGAATAGGCTGGCTTAGTAAGCAAAATTAACAGATTATGGTTAAAAATGCATATTCTATCAGTTTTCTAAGGAGTAGTGATTGGTTTAGCATGGTAACAGTAAGGCAAAAGGTGATCAAATGTCAATAGTTGAGGATGAGAACGGAGGACTATGACAGTTGTGCACTGACTGGTCATTCTGATTGGCACTTTGTGCTTCTGTGATCCCACAGGCAGCCGATGAGAATGCAACCAGCAGTGCGTGTTAACAGAGGGTCATGCAAAAGGAAAACACGGTACCAAACATTTAAAAAAAATTCCTACAAGGGACACAAGTCTTCTTATTGGCTGCAATGTGGGATCATCTGGAATCAATCCAGCTGCTACCATGGGCATTATGGCTGTAAAGATCCTGGTCAGGAAAGTACAGACACAGAAGAGGTAAGACTGGAGCAAGGGAAAGAAAAAGCATTCCATTAAAAAGAAAAGAGGCAAACATGATACACGGGGTTACTTTGAATTACCACACAGGACATACTACAGGGAGAGGTGGATCTGCATCACCTAAGACAGCTCTTCTCACTGAAAAACTCTCATTTAGAAAAAGCAGTCACCGAAACAGTTTAAATTGCTCTTGGATTTCTAAAAGATACCACTTTTCTGTTGTGAGGCAGCCTGCAGTCTGGGTTGGATTTCATCAGGGTATCACCATCTCTAGCAATGCAGAGCAGAGTGCACATTTTTCTTCCCAAGAAACAAACAGGCACAGACATAATGAAATGAACGATGAAGGTGTATGTTAAATACAAAACAGGACTGTGCTGTGACTACTGGCTATTTGCACAGAAAACAGGGTTAGACAGGACGAGCATTACAGTTAAAACACTTTACAAATTAACGTTTGTTAATAGTTGATAGTTTCGAGTTAAAAATCACCACAGCTGAAATCTTAAAATCACCTCCTGTGCAAGCTACTTGGTTAAAGGGCCTGGGTACCTCTTCCAGAAGAGCCTGCATTGTTTCACATGCAGAAAGATGCTAACTGCAGGCAGCTAAGTACTGGTTTGAGACCTTGCAGCTACTCCAGCAGAAACACTTTCTAGCTGGCTAGCAGCAAGATCATTTCTTTGTAGGGATTCAGCACTTTCACTAGGCATTGGACAATTCATGCAACTTAGAGGCTGAGAGCATGCCGGCCGGGTGCTCAGCGCCCAGCCAGCCCCACACAAGCCTGCCAGCACACCTTCATCCGTACCTGGAACACCCTCTGTTTTTCTAAGGGTTCTCCTCAGAGGTTCTCCCTTGTGCCAAATATTTTTTTGAACTGTGGACTAATGTCAATTAAAAATTAAGTTGAAATCACTGAGAGACATTTCACTTGTGACCAAACGCAGCTCTCCCCAACACAGCCACCCTTAACTGCTATTCTTAGATTCCAAACAAAAACAAACAAACATTGTTCTACCATTAGCAGTAGCTAGGACTTCTACTTTTACACACTGTGGCACACTCAGTTAGCTGCAGCAATCAGGCAGACACATCAGCTTTTGTAGGCTGCAAGAATAGGAAGAAAACGTATGGCTGTTTCAGGCATTACATCAGTGACAAACAAGCACATATCCGTGAGGAGAAAACAAAAGGGTGTTTTCTGCTCAAAACAGAGGGAGCATTTTTAATCCTTGCACTCTTTCTCCTCGATAAAGCCTCCTGGTTATATTATTTCATCAAAATTCTGACATGTGATGTGGCTGAGACAAATGCAGTATGATGAGATCAGAACCCAGTTTGCCCCAAACCTGCAAACTCTGGCAGTGAAAAAAATGTGGATTACTGTGACTTCTGTTTCCTTTTCTTTATGTGGGTGCTGCATAGAAACATCTGAGCACATCTTAGATGGCACAAGCTATACATATCTCATTCCCTGAGATACTGCATGGTCAAAGAAAAAGAGGGCACACTACACAGGCAAGGATAAAACTTCTCCTGAGATGACAGCATCAGTCTCTTACTTTTGTACTTCAGCTTTTAGTTTAGTTAGGAGGAAAAGCCTGAAACAGAGGACAAAAAAAACCCTGCTTTCTTTTATAAAAGCACTCTGCACGCAGACTTCAACCTTACTGAGCTTTCCTCACATCATTAGGGTACACAGAGTTTGTGTGTCAGCATGTTACCAAGGTGTCATAGGTGAGGTGCTGAGAGTGTTCAGGCCTGTGACAGGGAGAAAGCAGCTCTGGAGAAAGCTCGCAGCAGGCCAGGAGTGCAGGTGGAGGTTTTAGAACAGGACAGGACAGACACTACACTTGGGTTCCTTGTTTCTCCCAGCAGTGAAATTTCCTGTCTTTTTAAAGCCGACAGCTGTACCCCTGCCACCAGCCCCTTCTTAACCACTTTGAGGTCTGCTTGGGTTGCAGGAGTAACCAATCTACAAACACAACACTGACTAGACACACAGCAGAGGGGGCAAAGAAAATAAACCCACACTTGGCAAATCCCATCCAGACAGGCTGCAAGGACATGACATATACGTAAACAATTACTGTCCTTCAGGTTATTTAAATAGAAGGTTTTATCTTCCCTTATTGAATGTGAAGGCTAAGTAAGGAGAGAGCAGAAAGAAACTGAGGGATTGAAGACGGCAGCTAAAGAACATAATTCCATCCCAACAGCAGGCTCAATACGCCCTTTCACAGTCCAGCAGAAGAAGACTCTTACCTTCTCTGGAACAGGCCAAAAGAACATGTTTTCACTTTTTATTGTGCGAGTTTTCAATTACATAAATTTAACCCAGAATCTGAGAAACAGGAAGATTAGATAGGCACCTGAAAATGTGTACTGATCAAATGGCCTGATGCTCAGCGGGTACTCGCTGATAAATTAACTGAGAGGAAGAAAGCAGCAAGCACCACAGCTAGTTGGACACGCTCACGTTCCGCCTGCCATGGCTCCCTGCACTGTGATGTCTGCATGCAGACGGCAGAGCCAAGGCTGACACCCAGTCAGCGTGTGCTTTGACTTACAATGGCTGCTTACAGCTTCATAAATCGACTGTGGGGCTGCAATCAACACAGACTGGGTACACTGAAAACAGCCACCCCCCACAACAGCGCAAGCTTTAAAAAGTACTAACATAAATTTAAAAGAAAAAGAAGCATTACAGGGGAGAGATCTGGTGAGACAAAGTATTATTACCAGTCACTTAATGAGTCCAAACTCAAAGTGTGTTTTTCAGTCATATGAGAGGAAGGGCTCTCAGCAAACCACGCAGCACAGAGGGAAGCTGGGGACTCTTGAAAATAATCAAAAGTGCCCTCCTGACTTTATGGTGTTTTGGACCAGCACAGATCTTCCCATGAAACTTACTCTCACAGGGCTGCTGCTATTATTAAACAAAATCTGGAGGTTATGGACATGAAGACAGGATGGAAGAGCTTTTTATGCTGAAACAAATGATTGTTCCAAAATCATTTATGCAGTTAAAAAACCTATGCTTCTGGTATCAGAAAAAAAATATCCGAAGACTTGCTGTGAGATTATGAGACTTAATTTGGAATAAATCTAGAAGGAAGGAGTTTCAACTTCACTTTTGGACAACACTGTTAAACCCTTCACCAGGAGAGGGTGGGGTTCTTTCTAGCCAAGAAAGCTGGCATCCTCTCCAGCAAGGCAGTTGTACAGCAAACAAAAGGTTTTGTGCTGTCACAGTCAGAATCTAAAGACTTAGATCAACAGGGAAACAAGCCCAGCAAGGTCATGGTGAAACCTCATTTTCCACACCCAACTGCCAGAGGTCTGCACTTGGCTTTACTTGTGAACAACACTCTTTACACATCTTCCGAGCAGTGACCTGGGGGCCAGTGGTTTGCTGACATTCACCACCTTAGGGACTGTGCATTAAGGAGCTGGGGCTTGTGCTTGAACAGGAGCAGTGCTCCTACAATCCTTGCATGCTGAGATTGGTACTGACTTCAGTTCTGGGCACACAGGACAGGCTGAGTGGTGCTCTGGATAACACCACATCTATTAGCACCTCCCTTTGGAGTATGACTGCATGGTGGAGACAAAAAAATCCTCTGGGAAGATCAGGTGTCTGTCATTAAGCGCTCACTGGCTCATACAGCTATAATGAAACAAAGCAACACATGCTCTTTTGGCTAGCCTGAATTACATACTTAGTAAAGAAACAGAATTGGAGTGGGCTTCTTGCACACGCCCATCTAGCCTATAAACACAAGCACATGGAACAGTTGTATTCTCTACTGCTGTCTGCATGTAGGAAGCAAAAGGTGGCACAGCAAAATCTGAGGTTGGAAGCTCACCTATAAGTAGGCTGGAGTTTTGGCCAAAGCCAACTCTTGTTTCTTGACACCTATCCAATGTTCCTTTCTGAAGAAAACACTTGCAGACATTCAGGACCTCTCCCATATATGTTAGGGATGTGGCTATCAGCATTTGCAGACTATATCCAGTATCCTTAGAAAACATGCTACTTACAGTCGTTTGATTCCAGATTCAGGCTGAGTCGAGGGTTTTGACTGAATTATGGGCGGAGGTTGAGGGGTTCTGGTTTCTTCTTCTATTTCCTCACTTGAAAGAAAGAAAAGGTAATTAATATTGTCCTCCAAGCCACAGAAGCACTTTCAGTTCTAAAATTCAATCTGAAGGTGGACTGTTTATGAAGAAAGGGTCTCCTTTCAATATTTTCTTCCCATTTTGACAAACAAATAAAAAAGTAGAAGAGGAATACATGGAATAAAAGTTCTATAATATCCATTTTAGACCCACTATTACCCTCATTTTTTAAGTTCAATTTTTTAAAATGTTTCTAATCTTTCCAAGAATCAGGGGGAATCTGGGAGTTAGGGAAGGATACAAGTTTTTCCCAATGTTGAAAAACCAGATATAAAAGCTTGTTGGACACTATTTAAGAGCACATTTGTTCTTTCTAGACCTGACCTATAGCTCCTCTGTGCATAGCATGCAACAGGAGAGAAGACCTAACCTACCTTTTGTAATATAAAAGCTCCTCTTGAAGTAAAAACACTTTAGATTTCAATTCATTCCTCTCATGAAGGACATCCCGGAGCTCCTGCAAAGTGAATCTTGGACGATTTGGATCTTTTAAGTCCATTGCCATCTTTTCTGACTCTGAGAGGCAGTCGTCATTGTTTGATTCTGTCTAGGAAGCGAAACACAGGCTTTAAATTCACTATGCAAATGCATTTCTGAGGAGTTTAAAATATTTATCGGTCTAATCCCCAATATCTTTCTTTTCAGCACTATTAAATATTCTTTTAAGAGAAAAAATACGAGTGTTTTCTATTTTATTTTTCATGTTAAAAACTGTCAGCAGGAACAGCTCAGAGATCCAATCACTTTGTTCTTTCTTGTGCTCAGATTGACCGATGACACACACAGGGCTGATGATACCATGGCAGCTCTCTGAAAGACGATCTGAGCGCTGTTCTACCGCTCTTCACTCGGTGCTCAGGGGAACCTTGCAGATGAGGATGACCTAAGTGACCTTCAGTCAAAGCCCTGTGCTCACAGGAACCTTTCCCAGAGTTGTATTTTTGGGAAGATGAACACACACGGCCCAATTGTTTCTAGCAGCCTAAAGACTGGATCCAAAGTGGGTCACCACACAGGTGCGAGCTTTCTTGTGGAGAAATTCCTGTGGAATCCAGGTTGCTAGAAAGCCCATTGAAAATGTAAAGCCTAATTTTTGATAAACAAGTCTGTTTAAGGAATGTATACTTTTAACCAATAGGGTAAATCAAACATCAGCCTTTTATATAAATACTGAAAAAATAGCATAGCAAAAATCATGACAGTTCCTTCCAGTTCTTCCACAAAGAGAAAGTTTGTTTGGATGTAAATATATTAAGTGGAGATTTAAGTTCTTATTGCCTTCATGCCTTTATTTAAAAATGCAGAATTGGTATTAGCACTAGGATCTAGCTACAAAGTGGAAGAAACCTGCAGACAAAACAGCGGAGCAATGTACATCTGTCCATTTGCTTGATTCACCCCATTAACCCACACGCATTCCTTTACACAGATGGTATTAAATAAAGATAGATGCACAAGAGGTTCACAGGAAATTATCCAAACACTTTTCTTCTTCACCCTCCTAGGTTAGAGTCTGAGCTGGTTTGTACAAATAACCTCTTTTTTGCTAGATTTTGCTCCAATCAGCAAAGACTGAGGGCTGGTAGCCAATGCAAATGTACCGCCCAAAGCCAACAAGCGATGTCCATGGCAGAGCACGCAGCTATTTGAGCTGCACGCCTGCCACTGCAATTCCTGTCTAACCATCAGCCTGGCACAGAGAGCAGGGAACGGCTCTAATTAGAAGAGGCACCATTGCCACGGACCAGATGAGCTAGAGAGAGGTGAAGAATGCATCCTTTCTCCCCAGAGACTGAAGACACTTTCTCTCCTGCTGGCTTTGGGCCTGGGCTCTGTGGCCCCGTTTACAAAGCGGGGTGTCCTGGCTGAATCAGCAGCAGTGAAGTCATCCTCTTCATTATTAATACACTGCTTGCCCAATTCAGCAGTGACATGTTAACAGTGGCTGTTACATTCCTGGGGGTACCAGAGCACCCCATCAGCCTTTGCCCCTGCTTCCTGATGTACGGCCCTGCCTCCTACAAGCGAATTAGATGGTTTGCTCTCTGCTGCAGTCCGTCAGGCACGTACAATGCTGCTGTGCTTCTTCAACATCATGGTACTGGAGCTTTTACCAGCACAAGCTCTATACCACAGTGCTCCTTGAAGTTCTTTCATCTTGTAATACCCCTTATCCTACAGCACATTTGCTTGAGTAAGACAGAAGTGGTGTCACATGCACAAAGGAAAGTAATAGGAACCATGAAGAAGACTGAGGGATACAGCAGAGCAGAGAAACATCCCCTTGGATTTGCATTCTTACTACTCTGATCTCAGCACCAAGCCAATTTGCAGATTTTCATTTTGCCTGTTCCAGCAAGTATTTGAGTATGCAACATTCGCTTTTCATGAACATTTGTGCTAGTAACGCTTCACTGCACAAATTCTGGTGGGAAGCAAAAGCAGGAATATGGCCAAGGTTATTTCCTCTAAAACATGCCTTCAAATATTTATATGTTGGTTCTGCAGCAACAGAGCAGCTCTGTCCCAACAATTAGATCCAAATGCCATAAGCAGTGCAAGAGTCAAGTGTGCTCTCACTCATTTTTGAAGCACAAGACCCCAGCTTTCCTGTCACTTCTTGGATTAAGAAAATTCTTATTCAGTTGTGAACAATCACAGTGAGGCAATGGATAGAAGTACGGTCAGGAAGAACAGAAAGCACAGCAAGTCTCTGCAAAACTTGTATTTTCAAATCTTTGGACACATGCTCATGGGTTGCAGTGAAATGCTGTTATTTGTTTGGTCATAATAGAGCATATCATGGAACTGTGACTGCACTGTGTTTTGTTTCTACCCCAAAGGCTTATACGCTATTAATTGTAAAGCCACTGTAAATAAAACCCAGAGGATACAAACAAAAAAATCACCCACAAAACATGCAACAAGCAGTTGTACTGGAGTTGCAGAAGGATGTTAAAACTGCTCAAAATATTCAGGGGAAGGGGGAAAATGACATTCTTCTCCTGATGCAGAGCCACAGCTACCAAGATACAAACCCACAGCACGGCTTTGTTCTGGAATGTGGCAATGGCTGCATCTCATGCATGGTTTAGACAGGAACCATTCTAACTGCAGGGCTCCTCAGCAGTTACAGACCCGTAATGACCATCACGAGTATCACAAGATTCATCTCCCTGAAATGACTGAATGCCAGAAGCTGGACTAACATCAGGCCTGTTTGTCCCACTGCAGACCAAGATGTGAGACAGATCTGGTGTTTGTAGAGACTCAGCAGAGACTTTCGTAAAGAGTGTTTGTAAAGACTCTTGGAGACACTGTTCCTAGTCAAGTCACCGGCACAACCTAGGCTTGCCTGCACACACAGCCAGGGAGAGCTTTAGCAGTGTGACAGCAGCCAGCCCTCCCTTCACCTTTTGTTTTTCATTCTTTACATTATGTCCAGGGGCCTGAAGAGGACAGGTAGCATTTTAAGATTATGAAACAGAGATTTCAGGCAGAGCAGGCATATTCCACTGCATGTGAATGTTCTGTCCTCAGGCACTGTCTGCCTGCAGAGTTCTGCATTGCCTCTGGGACCCCTTCCGACACAATTTCTTTTCTACTGTGGTTCTCACGCCACCACTGTCATAGTGCTGTGCACCTTCAGGACCTGTTGGGGCTTGCAGATTTGCATGCTCAACCACCGCTGCTTCTGATGCATGTTGATCACATTTAGCCAACGAAGAGGTGTTATGAAGACTAAGGCTCTGTAAAAGGCTGTTTTAAGAAGTGATTTGTAGTGCCTCTTACCTTTATTTCCTCCCCATTTTGGCTGTCCTCACCCTGCAGTTTTTCCCTCAGTTTCCCCAGCTCTGCTCGTAGGCTGCCCATCTCCTGTTCCTTGGTTTGCAGATATGCTTCTAACTCCACCTTCTGCTCGATCAGTGCCTTCCCCTGAGCCTCAACAACAGTGATCCTGTGCCGCAGGTCGTGGTTAATTTTCATTAACCTGTTCTGTTGCTGCTGAAGCTGCAAATGTAGAAGGTCAGCAGAAGTTCAGTATCCATTCAGCTATCAGCCATAATGGACAAGTCCCAGATATTACGTTAAAGAACACGTACTGAGTTCCTGTTAAATTTGATCTGGAAAATTCTCCTCACCCCCTTATTAATATCTAATCATCTAATACTGTTGCAGGCACCAAAACTTCTTTAATTTGTTTCCAGAGTAAAAAAAAAAAAGAAGTACTTTTCTCAAAGCACAGGGAATTCTCCAGCTAAAACCAAATCCATCACTTCCAATATAATGTTTCAAAAAAGCAAAATTCAAGGACGGGGTGGATTACAGGATTTTGAATCACTTCTTAAACTCCCTGCTCTCTCCCTGCTGCCAAACTCTGTGGAGAGTACATAAAAAATACGTAGTACCTGCTCACCCAAAGCAGGGGTGGATGGGTGGGTTGAGGAATGGGACTGCTGAGGAAAGCTGCACTGCCAAAGCAGAGATTCATGAAGCCAGAGCAGGTTACCTGTCCTGTTCCCATGAAAGGAGGGAGGTGTCAGGTCTTCAGGGAAACAAACAAAACAACAACCTGTCCTTCCTCCTCCTTCCTCCCTTGTTACACTGGTTTCCAGTCACGTTCCAAGTGTGCCTGGTCCCTCCAAATGCAGCAGAGGGCGTGTGCCTGCACCGCCTGCCTCATCATTTGGGGCATTCCACAGTTGTGCTGGACGTGTCAGTTTCTGGACTGATAATCTGACATTGCTTAAAAATTCCACTTTAACTTAAATTTGAAAGAAAGCTACAGAAGCATGGGTGAGAAAGAAATGAAAGAGAAAGAGCAAGAGCCACTTACAGCCTCTACATCCTCATTTTTAAGTCCGAGTTCCCGGTCCTTTGCCCTGATTTCATCCCTCTGTTTATCTACGACTTCCTTCAGCTTCTTCATGACTTGCCGCTCTCTCTCCGACATTCCTGGTTAAAAAAGGAACACAGAAAACAAACTGAGGACAAGCAGGAGCTGCTGAGACTGAGAACAATAACAGTTAGAAGTATTTGGATAAAGACTCTGGAAGGTGCCTGCTGGTAGAATTAAAGAGAAGCTGCTGGGAGATGCTTTGAAGGTTACTTTGAGGGCAGCAGGGAACACAGATGACTAAGTCCACTCTACAAAGCCACTGCACAGAAACTCCTTGCGAAAGGAACCAACACTCCTCAGAAACATTTACAACAGTGAAGTGATCTGCTGCCTCCATGGCTTTACATCAGTGTTCACTTTATGCCCCATGGAGCTGATTTATTTGGGTGATAAGCTATAGAAACAGGTGGCTAAGACCTTAAATTTTGTCTTGCAACCCGTTCCCCATCCTATTGTATGATAATTCACCTTCAGGATAATTGTACTACAGAGAAAAGTACCATAGGGGCTTTCACTTTGGAAAGACATTTGGAACATTGCCAAGATTCCATCATTGATCCTGTTTGAAGATGACTAAGGGATTAGCTTAACCTGAAGTCTGACCAGTGAATCATTAAGAGATGTCATAAATCACAATGTAGAAATTGTTATTCCATAATCTGCCATTACAGAGATGATCAAGAACTCCTGGGCTACAGCGATGGGCTCTTCAGAGCAAACAAAGCAGAAGATTTACCTTGTTAGGATGATAAATCTATTGCACTAACTTTTTCTTGTCATTGTACAGAGATGTGCAGTCTGATGATCCTGAACTGTCACGTAAAACCACCTTGCACAATGTCCCTTTTGATGGCTTGAAGATGAGAGGCAGCAATCAGGGCACTGTGTGGCTGCTTGTTCTGTTACCTCTGGCAAAGCACTTCATTACCTGGGTCCTCAGCTTCCTCCACCCATGAAAGCAAGTAGTGATAATTCACTCAGCTCCCTCAGATAGCTGGAAAGCTACTTCCTTCTGTATTAAGGCAGTTCCCACATGAGACCCAGTGCATGCACATCCAGTGGAGCCAGCTGCTCAAGTCTCTACCTTCTGACATCAGCTCTGACTCCTGGTTATGTTCTTCCTTCATCAGAGAAATCCAAAATTGCTCCCATAAGATGGGTATGTTGCATGCCTTTAGGGACTCCAGCTTACAGAGTTTAGGAACAGTAGCTTACAGCTACATTTGAACTGGTAGATAATACAACAGAGCAAGACAGACCTGAGAGGGACAAAGGGAGCAGGAACTCTGGTGGGTGTGCACTTCTGCAGTAGCTGGGGGTTCCAATGTGGGTGTACAAAGCATGTCACTGCAAACAAGAACAGCAGCTCCAGTCCCTCATTAAAAAAGCACTTGGAATCTCCCGGAGCAAAGACCAGGTAACTGCTCTGCTGGGAAAAGGACTGGGGATCAAGGCTGGCTGGGAAGCTAGTTCAGAGGACGTGCTCCCATCAAAGCCCAGAAATCAGCTGAGTGACGACGTGGTGTTCATGTTCTCGTATTACATTCTCATCTTTTTAAGTTCTATGATAAGTCTGCTCTATTTTGGGAGCCTGGTCCTCTTTGTGTTGCAGGTTCTAGTGTTTTGCAGGATACTTTTCATTCTTCACTGCAGTAAGGGCTCATACCCACTTAGAAGGACAAGTAGACACTGACACACACTGCTGCTTGCTCTCCTAAAAGATCCACGCTCCTATCACGACACAGGGCTGGAGGGCTAGAAGCCTGTACCCAGCCCTGACACCTTTCTGATCCCTAAACCTCTGACTTAGTTTCCTGACTTGCAAGGACATAGGAAAAGATGGAAGAACTTTGATAATAACTGAAAGGAGCTGTGTAGAAGAAAGAAAAAACAAACAAACAAACACAACCAACCAACAACCAAAGAGCCAGACAAGGACCCTTGCACCAGCCAGCACAACAGACCACTGGAACCTTCCCACAACTTGTTCTTGTTTACCTGCAGTTCCTGAACCCCGCTGTATCTGCAAAACCCTACTATAGGTTTCTGGATCCACCCTTCCCCAGCCACTCTCAGGGCTGGGGCCTAAAACATCAGCTGTATCTTAAAACAAAACAAAACAAACAAACAAAAAAAACACTCCAAAACTTCGCCCTGAGGTACAGAGGAACTGCAGTGAGGCTGACCAGCAGTTCTACCCCAGTAGGAGCTAAGAATAGTGAGTGCAGCTATATTCATTAGTATTTGTGCAAAGCTTTGAGATTTCTAGATAGCAGGTGCTATTTAAAGAATAAAGTACCATTTCGGTGCTGACTGCTTTTCCTCCCACTATACTCAATTTTCTCTGTAACATTTGGTGAGCATCAAAGACTCAATTGTGTGCATGGATCACTACATTATCCTCTTTATTTCAGGAGGAGAGGAAAGGAAAGGTGGGAAGTGTTTTGAAACAGTCACTCACATCTTCTTCCATTTCTCAGGCACTAGGGAAGAGGAGAGGGAAATCACCAAGTGCCCTAAATGTAAAGTAATTATCTCTAAATGACTCAAACTATGATATCTGCAACATCTTAAAGGGCACACCCAGCTGGCTTCTACAGGCACATCCTATGAATTCAGAGCTTCCTGTGAATGGCTGTGATCACAACATTGTTCTAAGGAGCAAGAGAAAGGAAGGAAAGGAAGGAAAGGAAGGAAAGGAAGGAAAGGAAGGAAAACCATCCTTTATGTTCATGCTTGGAGACGTGTTTACTGTTGAGTTTGTACAACATCTGTAGCAAGAAGCCAAAGCGTGGTCAGGGTCTGTGGCACTTCCTAAACATTCAGAACAGAAATTTGCCTTCACTTTGGAAAGGGAACGGCAGGCTGCTCAGCAGCTGAGCACAAGAGGTTTACATGACTGTGGGCACCCTGCTGCCAGTCCGTATTACCATCACCAGCCTGAGAAGGCAGCTCCTCTCGCAGCAGAGACGCAGCAGCCTGCTTGTCCTGTTTGACACACGGGTCAAGTCTGCTTGTGGCATTTCACTAGGATATTCTGATCAGTCAGCACCAGCAAATATGCACTCAGTTTGAGCTCAGGGAGGAGTAGTATTAACGGAGGTTGCAGATTCATCTTTAACCTCTCCTATCTATTTTGTATTCTGCCACATGGAGCCTTTCATACAAAGACTGCTTGGCTCAGGCTCTCAGGGAGCATATGCTCCTCTTATTTATATGGGATTGTGTTTGCCTTTCTCATGAACACCTTCATTATGCTAAAGCAAGGCTCTGTGAACTATAATGCGACTATTAATTGGCAAGATTGAATCTCAAAGCCTTAGCACACCCAGATCACTGTCCTCTGTTACCCGTACTAAAAACAACTCCTTCAACTAACTGTCTGGTGAGCAGGCAGCAAGCTGCTAATCCCAGGAGAGTTAGCCACTAAAGGAAGACATGAGCACACCATCAAATCATGCTGAGATATGACTGGAGTCCGGGCAAAGTTAGTCTAGCCAACAAAGCGTTTCGCTTGAACACCTGCCTCTGTAGAGTCTGTGTGTATCAGATCAAATGATGGAAAGGGGAAAAAAGCAGCACGACTGCTTTTTGACATTATTTAAACAAGTAGTTTGAGACAAACCTGATTCCACTCATTAATTATAAATATTCCTAAAAAAAATAAAACAATTGGGCTTGTTTTAACAGGTCCCACTAACAAGCTGAAGTTACTCTAAGTGAGGGTGATTTGACTTGAACTGATCAGTTCAGCTAATGAATATCAGCGATCCCAGAATCTGATCTCTGGAATGGGTTTTGTTTGTTTTGTTATCCTTGCGTAGACACAGTAAAAATAACATGCAAAGCATGTGTGGCATTTGCTTGGCTAGCCGAATGTAAAGAGTATGGTTATATTTAAACGCAAGCACATGAGCTGCAGTGAGCTAGATATCCACTGGAAAAAAAGACGAAAAAACAAAGGGGAAGATGGTTCTTTTTAACAACACATCAGTCTTTATGGTCTGTGACACATCACTGCCACTCTGACACTTGCCATGGAGTTTGTAAGCTGGCATTGAGCTACTTCTTAGAGATTAATTGACTACTAAATTGAAGGAGCTGCATTTGTTTTAGAAAAGTGGTAATCTTTAAAGTTTTAATAATTTTTGCTTTGAATTGTGGAGCAAATAGACATCTGTTCCTCTCCCCCTGCTCTTTGGAAAGAGCTATTTGCTGAGCTGTGGGTAAGAGCTGAGGACAGCAGCTGTTTCAGTCACTGCAGCAAAATCTACCTGCAGTTGCCAGTCAGAACCTTTTGTCTTGAAATTCATTCTGCCTCCAGAAAGGTGCTCATGAATTAATCAGTTATTTCAGCTCTTCCGGATTCACCCACTTCCTGCTTTATAAATCTCTTCACCTACTCTAAACTGACTGCAAGTGTCTTGAACAGGTGAGGGAATCCTAAAGGGTAGTAAACCAAGTAAAATCAGTCTCTCAACATATTTTTATAGCATATCTCTGCATGGTAGATTGATGTAATTCAGACAAATCTTGATTAGTTGCTTTACAAACAATTATCCTGGGTAGACTGACAGTTACACTTCTTTTTGTGCATAACGGTGTGAAATTGCTGAATGGATTATTTTTTGTTAGAAAACGTAAGGAGGGATTAAGAATGTTTTTGCAAAATGCTAGCTAAAAAGAAAAAGAAAAAAAATAACCATAGACCAAACAATGATGCTAGACTACTTTCAGAGATGCTTCTCAGCCAAACAGAAAGCTGTTCAGGCTTCTCTTTCCGTCCTGCCCCCACCTCTTATGCCTCCAGTGTAATCACGTGTTCAGAAATTGTCAATTCAGAAAAAAAAAAACACTGCATTAGTCTATAGAAAAAAGAAATCCAGAATATCCAGTATTTTGATAATGTATTGCTTTTCGTAACAAAAGCAAGTACTGAATTTGAAATACCAAACTTGCCTTCATGCTTCTGAAATTCCTCTTCCGTGAAATTAATGTCTTTGTGAGACAAGTTTGTCATCAGTTGTTTATTCTCCTCCTGCAGCTGTGCAATTTGGGTAAGAAGGTCCTGTGCTTCCCCTCGCCAGACATCCTCCACCAGTTCTAATTCCTAAAGGGTAGATTTAAACACATTAAGAGTCTTGGACTGGACTATTCACAGATCAAACCAGTAACAATCCTACTTCGATTCTTACGGAAAGCAATTACAGGAGACTACTTTGAATTTCTTGGAAAATATTTACCTTTGTGATGCCAGCATCAAAAAAATGAGTACCAGTCTCTATATGCTAAATGCTGAATGTAAACACACGAGGAGTCAATTCCTGATGCAAACATTTTTGATGTGTGAGTTACCCAAAGAGTGGCTACTTACTCCCCATTTTTCTGTGAGAAGATTAAGCGGATTGCAATACAGCCAAACTCGAGCAAGAATTACCTCTTGCATTGCTAAAAGCAACCACGAAGGCTGTTATAAACGCCCCAGAAACATCACAGCACAGACAGGGGGAGGCAGCGTTAGGCTCATTTGGAAGGAGCAGCATCTGAATTTCTGTTACAAAACAAGTGTAAAACATGGAGTGCCTGAGACTGTGCCGCAGACCCAGAGCTCATAGTCTGAATGGTAAACACAAGACAAAACTGTGCTGCTTCTTACAGAAATTGTTCTGTATGGAAGTCTTGAGGGACATCTACGTTAGCGGCAGCGAGAACGGTCAAAACAGCAGCTCCCATTTGTCAGGACACCGCATGTCAACAGCAGCTGTCACCAATCCCAGTAAAGGTCAAATTAGGACAAAAAGTATAAGTGATCAAGGAAAAACGGTTGTATTAGAGTTTCATTTGTTCCAAACATCTTTGCCATAAACCATATTTCTGTAGTGGGGGCATTCTCTACTCCGTTTTCATGTGTATGCTTCAAACAGAAAAAGCTGCCTGCAAATCACTGCAGCCAGGCTGAGTCACTTGCTGACTTTCGCATTCATCCAGCAGGCCCCTCTCCTACCTAACAACAAAACACTCAGACAACAACCCCGCCAAGCACAGCTCTAGGCTAAAATAAGCTCAGCTGAGAGATTAAAGGATAGCTCTCTGCTTTGAATGCATGCTCTTGACACTGGGAAATCACATTCCTATTGATTTCCGGGTCCAAATAAAATGCTATTTTATTCCAGCATTTATTATTGCATCACTATCATTTTATAACCTCTGTTAGTGTGCTACGAGCTTTGCAGAAAACACTATGATGGATTATAAACAACATATAGAGCATTGTAAACTATGCAGACTTGATTAAGAAAATTTCATGAATCGCAGCTATTTTTACCTGAAACTCTTGAGAAATACAAATCTGTAATTAAACTGTTTACTGCCCAGTGATACCTAGACGATTTACAGTGATGCTGCATGTTTTAACTCTGTAGCCAGAACAATGTGCTGACCTAGTTTAGGAAATGAAACAGCACATTCACCAGCTATAAGCATACTGATAAAAAATAGAACACACAAAACCCCAGACTATCTAAACTTACCTAGTGTACAGGGAGCTACCCTGTAAACACACAACTATACCAAGGTTTAACCTGGCAAACGTTTTATTTATTGCTAATGAAGAGCCCGAGGAACTGTAGCAGAAGTAAACTCCTGAATCCTCACTGCCAGAGGTGTCTGACAGAGCAGGCAGGAGATCTGCAGGCCCATAGGTGCCAGCCAGCTTGGGACACTCCAGCCATGCTCAGCCAGGCAAGAAGGATTCCCACCTGAAGGCTGAGTGCTCTGAGTGCTAAAACCCCATCAATTGCTGCTTGCCAAGGACCGCTAAAAGCTGCCTGGATTGGCTTTTGGATGCTTCTTGTTCACAAGTATGTCCCAGTCTCTGGCCTTTTGTGTTTACCAGTATCTGTCCTGTGAAAGTTAGCCTTGAAACGCTCGCACTGGAAGACAGCAGGATGTGACACAGGACTGCAGCAATGCAGCGCGCTGGGATTCGACTTAATTTAAAAAAATGTATCGTATATTTTATTTTCCACACTGAATGTTTCCACACAAGTTTCACATGGATTGTCTGAACGCTCCGTGAGCCACTCTGTGACTACTGGAGAAACCAGCAGAGTACTGGTGGTTAGCTGGCAGGGGCTGGGTGGCACCTGGCAAGCACAGTCGTACGTGGCTGACACGTTTAGGAAACTTCTTAACACAGGCGTGGACTTCAGAGGCATCTATGCAGACTGTCAGCTTTTCCAGCGATACTGGGTGCTGCTACCAGGCTCAGGTCAGTGTCCATTTCACCAGGCAGCATTTTTTTAGTATCTAGAGATAAAGAATTCCTGCTGGCTGACAGTACAGCGGTCTCAGGGAAACCAGCAGAGATCTGACTGCAGACACAGCACAGGACCAGCACAACAGCCCACCACTTGCTTCCATGATCTGTTAGAAGGCAAAGGCATGGGTTTGGGATGTGCTGTAATTGCATCCATTCTCTGGACCAGTAGCCTTCATTTTCTGGAGACTTACCAGGGCTTTATACACTAAAGATCTTCTACCATCCTTTTCAGGACCCTGTCCTAAGACTCCTTCTGCAAAACATTGCAAGAATTGCCCTGGATTTTTCATATGCTAAGCACAAGTCCCCAAGCTGATTCTTTTAAACAGACCTAAAACTTCCTCAAATAAATTCAAACTAACACTTGGAGCTTGGGGTCTCACTTCCAGAAATTCCCCATTTCCTCTTTAATCTGGACCTGTCTGAGCAAGCAGGGATGGATCGAGGCAGCAGTGATGATTTAGCAGTCCCTTGCTAGAAGAACCATTTACTTTGATCAGTTATCCGCCTGGTATGAAAATTAGATCTGGCACTTCCATTGCACCAAGTGGCACAGCTCATGCTGTCCTGCTGCATGAGGGTAACAGGATACGGGAAATGATCTCCATCCACCCTGGGCTTTCATGGGGTTGGGGACGCTGCACCAACCATGGGTCAAGCCGAGGGACCTCGTGCTGTCAGAGGATGGAGCAGGAGCCTGGGGGAGCGCTCCTCCCTGCTCTTCAGCTCAAACACTGACCTGAAATCCTCGGTCCTCTGTCTCTCTCCTATGCCTTGCCTACCTGATGAGCGTGCCAGAAAGACCGGAGGAGCTCGGGAGAGACAAGGGTATCGCAGGCACTGACTTCTCCTGGCCTAGCAGGAAGCGGCGCAGTCAGGAGAGAGGAGCACTTGGAGGGAAACGCACTGGGAAGGAAAGGCGGCGACTGGGGAAGGGCTGGGGGACGGGAAGGAGGCAGGAAACTTCCAGGAGGGAATTAAAACACCCCGATGACAACCACACACCCAAACCCCCGGCGGTGGTGAGGCAGCATCCCCATGGGGCTCTCCCAGCCTCCTCCCGGCTCTTCCCCAGGCCGTCGGGGCCCGTATCCCCCATACCCCCAGTATCCCCCCGCACCTTCTGGTGCTTCCTCTCCTTCTCGATGCGATCCATCCTCTCCAAGCGGAGCCGGTCGAGCTCCAGGCGCAGCTCCTCCAGCTCGGGGTTGATGTGGTTGCGGCTCACCAGCACCTCGAGGATCTCCAGCACCCTCACCACCTTGGGCATGAGGCGGGCGATGGCCTCGCAGCCGTGCTGGTCGATCACCCGCTCAAACTCCTGCCCCACGGCCGAGGCGATGTCGTACACGTCCATCACCGTCAGCTCCGCCGCGTTCTTCTCCAGGGCGGGCGGCGCCACCACGCCAACGCCGCCGCCGTCCATGGCTCGCCCGGCCCCGCGGAGCCCTCATAGGCGGCGGGGAGCCCCCTCCTCACGGGGCGCTCTCTTGGCCGGGGACCCCCTGCCCGGCTCGGCTCTGCCCGGCCCGGTACTGCTCTGCCCCGGGGGGACGAGGCTCGGAGGGCTGGGGGGGGCTCGCACTTGGCCGGGAGGGAGGGGAGGGGACGGGGAGGGGACAGGGAAGGAGGGCAGGGGAGGGCGAGGGCTCCCCGCCGCCTCCTCCTCCTCCTCCTCCTCCTCCTCCCGGCCTCGCCCCGAGCTCGGGGCCAATGGAAGGCACCGGGAGGGCCGGGGGAGGCCCCGCGCATGCCTGGGACCGGCGAGGGGAGGCCGCCGGGGGAGGCTGCTCGGGGCTCGGGGCTCGGGGCTCGGTGCCCGCCCGAGGCTGTTGCGGGGAGAGGGGCCCCCGGCGGAGGGGTGCTGTGGCTCGGGGGGCTGCTTCTGCCCGGGGTTCTCTAGGAAAAGCCTCGTGTGGGTGGTGGACAAAGCGCGGTGAGGTTTTGGGGGTCTGCCTGAGTGCTGCCCAGCTCTCCAGGCTGTACTCAGCACTGGTAAGGCTTCACCGCAGCGTCTGTGTTGTTGCAGCATCCAGGGGTCACCACAGCCCCCGTGTTCAACGCTGTCCTGTAGGCACCAGGATAGGAGGCAGGGAGATGATTCCCGCTGCAAAAGAGTTAACGAGGGCTGAGGGTAACGGGTGGCTCCACACAAACGTAATGGGAGCCACAAAATCAAGTTCTGTGTGATAGTAATGGTCTTGCTCGCAACGTTTTTGGGTTTAGGTCCTTGCTCTGCAAGAGTAAAGAGAGTCCTTACGCCTGGACACGTGTTCAGGGTATCACTAAGAACTTCATGTGCAGAAGTAGTTTGCTGGCACAAATCAGCTTAGTGATGAATCACATTAAACCAAGATACATTCTTCTGGTTAAGATTTTCAGTACTTTTGCCTTCAGGTGTGACCGTGTGCTTTTGAATGTTCTTAGGGTGATTAGTGAGAGGTGCTGTGGATGAGACTTAAGATATAAATGTGCCCTGAATTGCTCTAAGTCCTAATTCCTCTACTTTACACAGCACAGGAATACTGCGTTAAATTTTGGACCAGAGACTGCGAGTGATGTCAAACACTGGAATTAGTCAATGGAAATAAAACTGAAGTTACGAAAACAAAGCTTGGAATGACTAATACATGCTGCATGTTGGGAATACAGAATTAACTCTCTTATTTTTGGCAGATGCAAAATGCCAGCACAAGTGAATGGGAGATTTAAGTGACATGAAAAGCAACACTGTGACACTCAAACTTATTTGTGCCACTGTGTCAGCATTGCATTCAGTCACACGTGATGTTTAAGACACTTCCTTGTGTGCTGTCAGCCAGCTCTGGTCTTTGTTGACCTGGACCATTAAGTTTAAAAAAAGAAAAAAAAGCCTCCATACATCTGAGTTTGACATTCAATTGCCTATTTTATAATAATAATCAACGATATCCTGTGAAAATGCATCTACATGTAGTTTGTGAAACTTCTTGCCAAAACGGAATACCACAGGAAGCTGCCCAAAGTCCCAGGGAGAGCAGGAGGAGGATGAATAATGGCACAGTCATCCTTTCCTGGCCAGCGCTGCTTATGAAACCATGAAACGTGGTAGCAGCGCGAGCAGAACTTTGCGAGAGGGCTCTGCAGAACCTCGGGGATCAGACGGGATGGGGAGTGAGGATTTGGTCTGAGTTAGCGATAAGAACGTGTTCATAACACCAGCACTCAGTATCTGATTTCCTGTTGTTATGTAGGAGAAAAAAAGTAATAATTTAGAGAATGTGCTAGTGACAAAGTACTTTGAGGCAGATGACTCGGGGGGCTCACTGAAACGTGTCAATGTTTCACACGGAAGCCGGTTTGTGCTTAGTGTGTAAACGCTACGGGGCTGCTCGCAGCCTCCGATGCTGCTGGGAGCTCTCGGTGCTTCCCCGGGGCCGCCCCGCCCGTTACCGCCCCCCCCCAGCCCGGGGCCGCCTCAGCGCCTCAGGCCCCGCGCTCCCGCCCGGTTGCCAGGCAACGCCCCCCTCCCTCAGCCAACGCCACTCCTCCGCTCTCCGATAGGCCCACCATCCCCGCCGCGCGCTGATTGGCTCTCCCCAGTGCCTCTCCGCGCCCCTCTCCGTTCTCATTGGTCTCTCCGCGCACAATCCCCGCCCCCTCCCCATCCCGCTCTCCCCACCCCACCCTCCCCTTCCCTTTGTCCCTCCCCGGCCGCCGTCTCCCCGGCCCGTACGTGGCAGCGGCGCGGCGCTGACCAATGAGCGTCGGCCCCGTGCCCCCGGAAGCGGCGTGGCTCGCGACCGGAAGCGCCGTCCCCCTCTTCCTGCCGCCCCGCCGCTGGGCTCCGCCATGTCGGCGCTGCGGGCGGTGCTGGCGCTGCTGGCCGCGCTGGGCGCCCCGGCCGCCGCCTACTTCGTCAGCATCGACGCGCACGCCGAGGAGTGCTTCCTGGAGCGGGTGCCGTCCGGCACCAAGATGGGGCTCATCTTCGAGGTGGCGGAGGGCGGCTTCCTCGACATCGACGTGGAGGTGAGGCCCGGGCCTGCCCGCGCGGGGGGCGCGCTGAGGCGAGGAACCGGGACGGGGAGGGCTGAGGGGGCTCCGTGTGGTGCTGGGCGGCGGGGGGCTGCCCGCGGCCTGGCTGCGTGGCCGCACAGCGCTGCTCGGTGGGTGGCTGCCCCCTGCAAAGCGTTAAAAGCCGTAGGGGAGCAATAAACGGGAATTGGTCTCGTCCCGGTGGAGGGCACCTCGCTGCTGGCCCGTGGTAACGTTAACGCGAGGGAGCTGCTGCTGAAATGGAGCGGAGCTCTTTACGTTTGCTCGTTGGCCCGAAGCAGGAAATAGCCAGGAAGCTGCGAAACCCCGCTCGGTTATCGCCGGTGGAACCTCGGCAGCTGGGCCTGGCGGCCTGCTGGGGTGGGAGACGTCAGGCCACGGCGAGCCCGAGCGTTCGCTGCTCTGGCCCGGTCAGAGAAGGCAGTTGCAGCACTACAGGGTATTATAGCCAAAGCAGTGTTGACATACTGCAGGATGCCCTTTTTTCCTTTTTGTTTCCTTGCAAACACCAGAGATAAGGTTTCTCTGCAGTTGTTAATTTGGCTAACAGCCAGCCTTGTGGCCGGCGTTGCAGCCAGCTCACATCTCCCTTGTTGAATGCCTCTTATCTTGAGGACAGATGCCCAGCAATCGCAGCCAGAGGGCGAGGCTTTTACGTGGCTCGCCTTACTGAGAGTGCTTTAGAGATTCCTGTGCAGAAAAATGCAGCGTTACTTTGGGCTGTGGGAAGGAAAACAAAAGAATGCCAAAGCAGTCAGAGCATGGGTGCTGTTGTGAATCTGACTAGATAGCTTCAGGATGTGCATGCGATCTGTCATGATGCATTTTAAAGCGCCGTATGTTAAATAAAATGTATGATATCTTGTTTTCCCTGTTCAGATTACAGGGCCTGATAATAAAGGGATTTATAAAGGCGATCGAGAGTCCAGTGGAAAATACACATTTGCTGCTCACATGGATGGAACTTACAAGTTTTGCTTTAGTAACAGAATGTCCACTATGACTCCCAAGATAGTGATGTTCACAATTGATATCGGGGAAGCTCCAAAAGGGCAAGATATGGAGACAGAAGGTGAGGAAGACTTCTGGAAAGAAATTAGCTCCAGCTTGCGAGCTTTTCCGTACCTGCATGACTTGTGAACTTGCCTGGCATTCTCAGAATTCCTGATTCTTCAGGCAGTCTAGGTAGCTGTTCTCTTGCACAGCTAGAATGGATATGGATATTTTTAGACCTCGTAACCCAACTTAATGCAGAATCACCAGGGAATCTTTTGGCCATCAGCAGAAACTAATGCTCTCATCCTTTAGTCTTTTCATCAGCCTCATTCTCTGATTTCTAGTTTGCTCAGCAGTACGTAGATTACTACACGCGTTAGTTGAGCTCTTTGATAAATGTGCTAATAAAAAAAAAAAGCTCTTAGCTGTGTAAGTTACTGTTTTATCTGCAGCCTTTTGTCCTGTACTTGTGTTCATCTCTTACACTTTTCTCTAGGTGGTGGAGATACCTGGGATGGTATGTGTCCTGATTTTTGAAAGCTCATTAGCATCTTGTCTTTTGCAAATGTTTATTCACTAACAGCTAACGTTTGCTTTTTCTCTGTAATGTTTGTTTGTAGCATGAGAATGTCTTTTTAATAAACTACATAAAAGGTCTGATTCTGAGCAATGCTGAGCACCTGCAAGCTTCCATCGAGGCGTTTATGTACTTAGCAGCTCTTGGGATCAGGTCCTTCAACGGGCCGAGACAGTTGGTCTTCAGGTGGTTATTTATGGCTAATGCAAGACCAGATTAGGAGGATTTTTAGGGAGAATTGAACTAAAACAGTGAACATCCAGGAATTAGATATTTTAGATGCTGTTTACTTTCACTGAAACAAGTGTTGGATAATCAAGGGCTTTTGGAAGCAACAAATTCCATCTCTGTTATGAATTAGCAATAACTTTACAAGAAAACTTCAAATTTGTCATTTGCTGTAAAATAAATGTTTGGGTAACAAGTTCTAAAGTTTTCTTTAGAAATTGCTAGCTGAAGCTAGAAGGAAAAGAAGCCTTTTTTTTTATTTTAGCAAGTAAATAACTGTGTGCCTTGAGTGCTTGATAGCTTTTGAACAAATTTAACACATTCCTAACTTGAACTTTTCATAAGTCTAAGTTAAATCTTTTTATTGAATCTGAATAGACTCTAAATATGCATCATAAAGAATATTAATGCAGCTTTAACTTTTAAGGCAAACACTTTCCCTTGAGTGTGCTTTTAGTGGATTTAAACAATCCCTGCAGCTGTGGTTTCTTCTCTTACTAATAACTGCACGCATTGCAGTGACCAGTTGGCCATGAAAATAAGGGATTGACAATATTAGCAAAGTGAGTGTGGTTTAGACATCTATTTAGGTGTTAATTATAGCTTGTATGAGTGTTACTCTGTCTGTGGAATGACTGCTTGAACTTCTCTTGGTGCTAGAAAACTTTGAAAATCCCTTGCATCATTCATAATTTTTCTAAGTGAGCAGTTCTTTGAGCATGAAGGTGTTTAAAGGACTCTGTGATTGGCAGGGCACTAAACCTCCAATCTCTGATCCATCCATGTGCT